GTCTTTGGGAATATCTAATTTGGGGTTCGAATAGAACTGCCCAATTGCTGCGAGATGAACATCACCACTGAATGATTTGGTTAGTTTTTATCGTTTGGAATCTGGGTGGCAGTTAAGCAAATTGCCTTGTCTTACCTGAGTATTGTGATCCGGACTGATTTCTCTGCGGCCAGATCCTGAAGATCTTCAACCAACCATGTGCGCTCGGACTTGAGGTGCTTGCCAGCCCAGTGGTCATCAAAGACCTCCACATTTCCGCCAGATCGATTTGCAAGCCCGCCGAGGACTCCAGCCTTACCGAGTGACTTGCGGCTGCTCATGAAATTGCGGAGCATTGCCTGGAGTCGACATTAGTTTTCGGTTTGAACAAAGATAGAAGCAATCATATTACATACCACTCGGGGGTAAGCAACAGGGACACTTGAAAGAACGATCAAATGTTTCGTCTCTCCTTTCATTATCTCCCTGTGGCAGCGGTCCCACAATAAATCACAGGTTTCTTCGCTGAGAACCTCATTGCTCTGCAAGAACATGTCAGCATAGTCCACAAGTTAGAAAATTAGAGTAATCATACCCGTCGCTCAGTGCGGCAGTCAAGACCCAAGAATGAAACTCCTTGACCAAGAGACATGAACAAATTTCGGCTTTTCTGCCCAATATATGGACCAGGATGAGCACCAAGAAGCCAGCTGGGTTCATCTATCTCGGTTTCATCGGGGACACTGTGGTGCTGGAACAGCAGGTAATACTTAAAAGCAATCTTCCCAATTCCCGATATAACAGAGCTCTGCATGAAATCATTGTGATAAGAACCAAAGCCTTCAAAGATTTCATGATCATTCCAAATGTTGATTGTGGGAATCTGAGAGTTCGCCAACGAGAAGAGGCCCTGGGAGAACCATGCAGCATAGCGCTCGAGATAGAACTGTTCCAATTCAGCACGAAACTCGGGAGTGAATGACGCTCCGTATCTATCGGCAGCGTGTTTAATCTTAATCCATTCTTGGAAGAAGGCTGATTTTGTGATAACCGAGTCGTTGAAGATTTGATCACCTCCACCGATCATCACATGGAACGGACGAGTCTGATGCTCGTTAAGAATATCTCGCCAAAGCGGGTCGGGCCCGCAAACTTTATCAGAGTCGGCAGAGGGACTGAACCCGTTACCACTGTGGAACATTATGTTCATGGATTCTCCAACCGGCGGCACCCAGAATCCCAAAGCGGGTCCCTGGTTGATCCGATAGGCGATTCGCTGCTGCGTTGTGCTGAGTTCAACCTCTAAGTTGAATCGCCAGAATGTTACATCTCTTGCAGCATCGGCGTACAAACGGGCTCCTGGGATGTCTCGGTACAGACTCGCTGTCTCACCATCGACAGCATGCATCCGGTTTGAAGGCATTGGTTGTTTCATGCCTTCGCTGGTATAGTCGATCATACTAGGCGAGAGCTCGTAGATGCCATCGTCGTTCTCGACAAACGATAGGTCGACTTGCTCCTCGACATGTTCAACTGGCTTCACGTAAAGGGGCCGCCCATCACGGCCAACTTTCATGAGCCCGGCTGTTGGGTCGACATATTCGGGAGCCAATTGCACTCCATCTTCATGGCTGATCTCCACGGGTGGAGGAGGAAGAAGATCCATAGGCTGAGAGAATAGTCTCAGTGTAGGTGGAGTCTCGTAAGAGGAGCGAGAATCTTTGGTTACTATCATGATAGAGCCTCGCCATATCGCTGTATCAATGGGACCACTGGCTCCATCAACCTTGACTCGCTTGATACCTGTGTATCGTAGCAAAGGCCCACACCGCAAGAAGAGGCTGGGTTGGAAGTTCTTGTGCTCAGTTGCTCCTAATAGGCATTAGTACATGAATTTCGGGCTTGAAACCCGGGATAAAGGAGGATCTTACCTGTCAACTTCTGAGCAGGAGACTTGTAGTTCTTCGGAAGAGCCCTGCTCTTTCTGCGATCGTTGGTGCCACCACCTTCCCACCACGCTTTACTGCGCTCCATATCAAAGTTCTGGAAATCGAAATCAGGAACCGCAAGCCGAGCAGGCTGTGCATTTCTCCACTCAAAAATTGGTGGGGGAGTAGGCGGTGGGACATTGAAAGATACAGACTGTTTCTTGGGCTTGGTCTGCGACTCGGCACTATCCTGAGGCGCGCGGGGTGCTGTTAAAAGTTCGCCTGTAGTCTCCGCTCTTAGGGCAACAGGAGCCTGCATAGGTCGAGGAGCTGCTTGAGACATCGATCGACTGTGACTGATATTGCTGGCAAATGCTGGTTTGGCGGCAGGTCCGCTCACTGTGACTGATCGTCTAGGCACATTGCCTATCCTAGCTGATGATGGGACAGCGACATCTGCGCGTGTATATTGGGGGTCCTCGGGGTGACCGATAGATGGATATCGAGGATTTGTTGAAACTGCCCTGTTGTGACGCACAGGCATGCTTTCTGGTTGTCGCTGTCGTGGTGCACCCGCGTGTCCATTTCGCATGCCATCTCCAACTGGAATATCTCTCTGCTCATTCCTTCTGGCTGCGCCAGGAGGTGGTTGGTTTTCTGGCTGTGCGCGTTGTGCTGATGCTTCGCGAGCCATTGCTGCCATCAATTCAGCTTTCTCTTGTTCCGCTTTCTTGCGCGCAATTCGCTCCCGAGCTTTGATTTCCGCCTGTTGTACTCGTGCTCGCTTCTCTTCCTTGCTGATTCCAGTCAAAGTTACTTCCAACTTTTGAAGAGGCGAGCGCTCTGATGCCCATTCTCGCCGCGAGTCACTGGCGGAGACCGAGCGTGTGGTGTTTGATCGAGTTGGGGGCGAAGACAGTGGTGACTGGACATGAATCTCAGGCATGGCTGCACTGGGTTCTGGGGAATAGGGTGCTGTGGGAAGACCTCGTGGTGTGGTAGACTCCTCTGATAATTCCGAGGTCAATGGGGGAACCGGCTTGCGGGTTGTATAGTTCAGGTTTCCCTCGGGTTGGTTTCGGGCTCTGGCCGAGAAAGACCTGTCTAGCTGCCCTGGCGGACGGGCATCTCTTCCGCTGTGAGGTGTCTTCGGGTCATCATATTCTGCCTCGTGTTCATTTTCCGTGGAAGGAGCCTTTTTGCGATTGCGCCTTCCTGGAGTTTTTGGCGCTCCGTTGGCAATGTGCGGGTTGGAGCTGCCGTTTGCTATATCGGGCGATCCACGCATTGCCATAGCAGCCATGACGCTGTGTATTTGCGCCCAAACTCAAAGAGATCAGAAAAATACGTAGACAGGGTGTCAGGTATATGCAATTGTGAACCCAACTGGCAATATCGTTAATGTCAGCCCCGAAGGCAACCTGAGCAGAGTTAGGGGGAAATTGTCGTACGTATGGAGTAGTTTTTCTCAAAATAGATGAAACTGGTTTAATGCGACTTGATCTGATGCCTAACGCAGGGTCACTGCACCATGGCCTGAGCTGATTCGTAGGCAACAAGCCAAGTAGGGCGGGGGTATATGTCCACGCGGCGGTGACAGGGAAGTTGGCCTGTATAAAAGGCGGATAAACACAAGGATAGGGGTGTCAATAGGATGGAAGAAGACGAGATGAAAAGAAAGAAAGAGAAAGATTTCAATAAAATCCAACAAGCCAAAAAAAAAAAAAAACAGGCAAGGTCTATACGTCCGATATCCCGGTGGCTGGTTATTCCCAGCCTTCGCGCGGGGGCCATTGTCATACGAAGGTTAAGGCTGTCAAGGGAGCCCTGGAGAAACAATAATACTCCGTGCATGGTATGTATGATTATAAGACGTTAGAATAGATAGAGAATATCAAAAAGTAAAATATTGAAGTATAAAAATAAAGAAAGAAGATATACGCATGTAGAATTAAGCATAAAACGATTCTTAAATTCGATACGGGTACGGAGTACTGGAATGAGCTATTGTTAGAATCACCTATGGAGTACGGACATATATAGAAGTACAACATACATACATACCTAGACGCCCGGAATCTATGGATGTTTGACAGGGGGTTATCTAGAACATGATTATTGCACATAATTAACATATTAGCAATACATAAATAGCTCGATGCTCTGTTGCCCAAGTGTTTGGCTTTCCTATTTGGGGTGCTGCTTTTCAACTATGCTCAGTAAGTTTCAGTCCGGGTCAGGCCGTTGTTTTACCCCGGGGCATGCTCAATTATACTTAGCATAAAGCGGCAAGAACTTTCAAGTGAAAATGGAAAGCCAACTCATGTTTAATCTATGTTCAGGCAAGGACTTTTTAGGTAGAAGTAAAGAAACAAAGAAGATATACATAGAATTGCAAAGTGTCATCATATAATATAGGTTAGTTTACCCGGAATATCGTTGGAGCCTGGGTCATATGCTAGTTAGCTGCTGTCTGCCTGTTTTGCTTGTTTGTGAGGGAAGGCGTTTCAAGGTGATTATGAGGGAGATTATGTGATTTGACTCTATCGGCAACTTATCATTGTTAAGTTTCAGTTTCAGATTCAAGTTGTGTACTATGGCAGAAACAGTAACCATCACGAGGACAACGGACTCCCAAGCCCGGTAAACGAGCCTTTTCAGTGATAAATCACAGGGATGCCAGGCCTGAGCTCTATATATCCAGGAAATAAATCCAGCTACCCAGCTGCGGTGCTGAATTTTCTCCACGGGAAACAGAATAAGACAAGACCACCTCTTGTTTGAAAATTGCGAAGTTGAATGAAACAGTCACCGCACGATAACATGTCTTCGTTCCGGATTAAATGGTACAAGCCCTAAACGACCAAGACCAAATCTAGAATCCTCTCTGCAGAATAGCATTGCCAAAAAAACGTGATTCTCTCTACAACAGAATGTAGGTATCTTCGTCAGGCCGGCTGAAAGTGGAGGGCAAACTCAGGTCCTAGCAAGCCTCTGCGGACCAATGCTTCACAGGTCTTTATCTCATTTGTAGAGTCAATGACGGTGTATCCTGGTTCCTGGGTCATCATATCCTTTGTCTTGCGCTTGAAATCAGGCCATTGTAGGATAGACATTGTGCCAACAAGCAGAAATAAGACCATCAAAAACTACGTTGCGGGTAAGTTCTGGAAACTCCATTTCCCCAAATCGGCGATCCCATTCCGCGGCGCTGAGGATGATGTCGTCGTAGGGTTCATAGCCATATACCATGAAGTATAGGAGTGTCCCAACCGCAAACTGTTCAGTCCTGGCGGAACAGAGACCGTATGTGCCTTTCAATGGTCCAGCAAGTATTGGTTGGGCCCGTGGAGGCAAGGTACCTTCAAGTGGCTGTCCAATAGTTGTGGCACGACCAAAATCAGTTAGCTTCAAGTTGAAGTTACTGTCAAGAAGACAGTTGCTTGCATGCAGATCATTGTGACAGAAGCCCATTTTCTCCACATAGTCGAGAGCAGAGGTGAGTTGTTGGATCCACCGAGCGATAAGAGTAGGATCCTCATATTCCTTGGCCCTAATAAGACGCCCATGAAACCCATTTGTTCCTGTCTCCCGCTCCTGGCATTCATAGAAGCGAGGGGCAATTGCCTTGTGCGTGCAATATGATAGAAAAAGATAGTCTGGGAGCATGAGGAGACATTCGACAATATTCAGACATCGATCCTGGCATTCATTAAGACGTTTATAAAATGCGATCTCCTTGAGGAAAGGATGCTCCGCTGCCTTTTCTTCGGGGGTTCGGTCGCAACGAACAGTTTTCACCACAATAGTTGGAGTGACATGGTAGATATAAGCGTCGAGTCCTCCACCAATCCAGTTATGCTTCTCCAGAGCATCAGTGTAGTGGAAGTCCATGGCGAATCAAAGCACATATAATCATAACCGTACTCGTGCAGTGTTTTGGCAAAGAAGTACAGAAGTAATAACTGTTTGGGTGGCGGTAAGATAGTTTTGGTACCGGGAATCTATGAATGTTTCACGGGGCGGCCTGAATTACCTAGAATATGATTATTGCCCATAATTGACATATCAACAACATTTGTATAAATATAGCTTGATGTTTGTTGTTTGGCTTTCCTATTTCGGGTGCCACTTTTAAGAGTATGCTCAGTAAATTTCAGTCCGGGTTACGCTACTGTTGTACTCCAGAACGTGCTCAATTATACCTATCATAAAGCGGCAAGAGGTTTAAATTTAAAATGGAAAGCAAGTATATGTTCAAGCTATGTTCATGCAAGGACTTTTTAAGCTACTCGATTCCTAATGGTTGATGGACTACCATAACACTCAAATACTAAGGCAGTTGAGCTATAAATTCTAATCTCAGATGAGGGTGTTAACGTACATAGTGTTCATTGCTAGGTACCTATCTATGTATGGCCTCCCGAGCCCCGGGGCCGTATCTACAAAGTACGTAAGCTAAATAACCTTACCTAGAAGCCACCTAAGCACCTGGATATCTGGGCACCTAGATAGGAAAGGACATATGTAGTTAATATATACGGAGTACGAAGTAGAAACCGTGGCCTTATGATGCTGCAAAACTTTGATAATTGACAAAGAAAGAGGCCTGTGTTGTCCGAATAAACTAAGTCGAGCTCAATCGACCCTCAATAGGATCCCGTGGCCTCTCCAGGGCTGACGATCCTCCTATTTGCCTAGAACCTTGGTTTCTACTCCATAGTTTCGCATTGTTACAACCTCCTCTTAACAACTATTATTAAAATCTGAGAAATAGCGTCTTGTTGAAGCTTATTAAATTTTTGTTCAACTACACCTCTTGCCACAACTCATCGAATCGCTATTCAACGGGCCGGAACTGTCGATGGCACCCGCCTGCTAGATACCTCGAACCATCCCTTGATCCCTTTCCTTGAAAAGACTTAATCCCTCACCATGCACATTGTTAGTGGCATTGCCGTCACCCTGGGCCTTGCTGGTGCTGTGTCCGCAAACCTACACCCTCGCTCTCAAGAAACCCGTGACTTCTTCGCCCTCCACCTTGACGATACCGTCGATCCCTCCCACATTGCACAGGTCCTGGGTGCACGCCACGAGGGCCAGATTGGCCAACTGGATGGCCACCATACTTTCTCATTACCGCGGGAAGAGACGGCTCAGTTTGATACCTTGCTGAATGATTTACGGACCAGGCGAAAGCTCAGGCGGCGCTCCAACGATGGAATCGCTTCGCGCGAGACAAGTGACGATCCCCTAGACAAGATCCTATGGTCGCATAAGATCGCTCCAGCAAGACAACGATTGCAGAAACGACTTCCGCCAGTCTCCGTGCCGTATAAATCGCTGGACAAGAGAGAAAATGCGCAGATGGTTGCTTTCCGGAAGAACGCCATGTCATCTCTAGGGATCACTGACCCGATCTTCAAAGACCAATGGCACCTCCTCAATACAGTGCAACCTGGACACGATCTCAATGTGACGGGACTGTGGCTGGAGGGGATAACTGGCAAGGGCGTTGCCACTGCAGTTGTCGACGATGGGCTGGACATGGATAGCAACGATCTCAAACCTAACTACTTCCCTGAGGGCTCCTGGGATTTCAACGAGAACCTCCCGGATCCCCGTCCTCTTCTATTTGACGATAAACATGGTACTCGATGCAGTGGCGAGATCGCGGCGGCAAAGAACGATGCTTGCGGAGTCGGTGTTGCGTATGATAGCAAGATAGCCGGCGTCCGGATGTTGTCTAAGCCTATCGATGATGTCGATGAAGCGGCAGCTATCAACTTCGGCAACCAAAAGAATGACATATATTCATGTTCATGGGGCCCCATCGACGATGGAGCTACCATGGATGCGCCTGGAATCTTGATCAGGCGATCCATTACCAACGGTGTCCAAAAGGGCAGAGGGGGTAAAGGTTCGGTCTTTGTGTTTGCCGCCGGTAACGGTGCGGCCTCCGGCGACAACTGCAACTTCGACGGGTATACCAACAGTATCTACAGTATTACAGTCGGCGCTATTGACCGGGAAGGGAAACACCCGACTTACTCCGAGTCATGCTCGGCCCAACTTGTGGTCGCATACAGTAGCGGCTCCAATGATTATATTCACACCACTGATGTGGGTGCTAACAAGTGCTTCTCTGGGCACGGTGGCACCTCTGCGTCGGGTCCGCTGGCTTCAGGGAGCGTGGCACTCGCGCTCAGCGTACGCCCGGAGCTGACCTGGCGTGATGTGCAATACCTGATGGTAGAAACGGCGGTCCCGGTGAGCGAGGACGACGGTAGCTGGCAGATCCTGCCTTCTGGTCGCAAGTTTAGCCATGACTGGGGTTTTGGAAAGGTCGATACATATACCATGGTCCAGCTTGCTAAGACTTGGGACCTCGTGAAGCCACAAGCGTGGCTCAACTCGCCATGGCTGAGAGTGCATCAAGACATTCCCCAGGGTGATCAAGGTCTACTCAGTCGCTATACAATAACTGCTGATCAATTGAAAAGCGCCAACCTCGCCAGATTGGAACATGTCACTGTGACTATGAATGTCAACCACACACGCCGTGGTGATATCAGCGTTGAGCTGCGCAGCCCTGCTGGGATCGTCAGCTACCTAAGTGTTTCCCGCCTAAAGGATGATGTGGCGGCTGGGTATGAGGATTGGACTTTCATGTCTGTTGCTCATTGGTATGTGTTGTCCTTCTAACTCTATGATGTATGCTTTTGCTGAATATTTTTTAGGGGTGAATCTCCTGTTGGCGAGTGGTCCATCATTGTAAAAGACTCCAATGTCAATGAATTCTCTGGCGTATTCATTGATTGGCGACTCAATCTGTGGGGCGAGGCTATCGATGGAGCTAAGCAAAAACTTCACCCCCTACCCGACGATCATGAGGACGATCATCCCTACGAGGATGCTGCTGTAGCTACAACTAGCATTACTTCGGCTCCAACGAAGACCCAAGTCCCTACCAATTCGGATGACCACCACACCCGTCCTGTGAATGCAAAGCCACAGCCCACAGCCACGAAGCCCACAGCCACGAAGCCCACAGCCACGAAGCCCACAGAGCCAGTTGAAGATGAGAAGAAGCCCACCAATACAACTGGTGGTGAAACCGAAACCCCCTCCCCTTCCTCCACGGACTCAGACTATATATCCTCTTTCCTCCCCACTTTTGGTGCCTCGAAGCGTACGCAGATTTGGATTTATTCTTCGTTGGCTATGATCATTACCTTTTTCATTGGATTAGGTGTCTACTTCCAGCTTCAGAGAATGAAGCGTCGTCGCACCACTCCTCATGATGACTACGAGTTTGAAATGATTGAGGATGAGGATGAGACACAGCCGATGACTGGAGCACCTCGAACACAGCGTCGTGGCGGTGAACTGTATAATGCATTCGCTGGAGAGAGTGACGAGGAGATGTTCAGTGAAGATGATGATGAGCCGTATCGTGATGGGTTGGCCAATACCCAGGAAAAGGGCACCGAAGATGGAACGTCCTATAGTGGGCCCCATCAGGAAAAACCTTAATCTCATGTCGATAGCCATTTTGCATCTTGTTCCGTGTTGTCGATATGCTATATTGATTCGGGTAGTTGAAGTTGAAGACCATCGTTCACTCGGAATAGACGGAGTAGAGATATTACGGTCTCTTTGTATATCATTCCACAGGAATCCAAAAGCGTGCTGTGCATACAAAGATCATTTTCAGATGTGACGCAGTTTTCAAGGAATCACTAGGAATCATATGTAGTAAAGACTGTACAAAGTAATGTGTTGATTCTAATAATAAAGCGATGATGACGTTCCGCTTCGGGAACTCCGCCCTGGGGAACTGGCGATCATCGAACTCAGCTCCAACCTCCAAACCTGCCCCCTCCATTCCACCTCTTTGACCTTTTTAGTCCCTATCGCTCTTGATCAAACATTCCCTACAAGTATTGATTTATCGGCATTACTGGGGTTTCAACAACTATCAGCCGGTTGACCACAGCCGACCGACAAACCCCCACGATGGATCAACATGACGACTTTGACAGTGTGTCTTGGAAGCACGATCCAGACAGCGATGTCTCACGGCCAACAACTGCAAGCACAGATGCTGCAGAGCCCAGTGAAACTCGCCACGACTCCAATGGCAAGCGGAGAATGAGCTCCGCCCAAGAAGAGCCCCAGGCTGGCCCGCTAGCCGACGCCGTCGACCTAGCGGGCATCGGCGATGGCGTTCTTGAGTGCCAAGTTGACTCCCCGCTCAAAGAGAATGACGGAACAAAAGATGCATATATCTCGTACCTGGTTACCACACATGTATGCTTTCTTCTTTGCATATACTGTCGGGGAGTGGAAGTGCAGCTGCTGCCTATACCACTCGACATCTGTATCCCCTCAAACAGAGCTTCACTAACATATTTAGACCGACTTCAAATCATTCCAGAAGCCTGAATTTACTGTCCGGCGGCGCTACACCGACTTCTACTTCCTATACAAGACGCTCTATCGCGAATACCCAGCATGCGCGGTGCCGCCGCTCCCAGACAAGCACAAGATGGAGTACGTGCGGGGAGACCGGTTCGGGCCGGAGTTCACAACGCGACGAGCTTGGTCGCTGCATAGATTTTTGAAACGCTTGACGCTTCACCCTGTGCTTCGCCGGGCGCCTCTTCTCACTATCTTCCTGGAGTCGCCGGACTGGAATGCGCATATGCGCCTGCACTCGACACGGGTGACAACAAATACCGGATCGGATGGTGCGGCCACTGGTATCTTTGATAACTTTACCGATTCTTTTGTCAACGCTTTCTCTAAAGTGCACAAGCCGGACCGGCGCTTTATCGAGGTGCGAGAGAAGGCAGATAAGCTAGACGAAGACCTATCACATGTGGAGAAGACAGTGGCACGGGTTGCGCGACGTGAATCTGATCTGGAGACAGACTATGCCGATCTGGCGACACAGTTCCGCAAACTCGTTCCGTTAGAGCCTGATATTGAGATGCCACTGCAGGTCTTCGCGGCTTCGGTGGAAGAGACCTCGCGCGGGATGCGCGGGTTGAAAGATCACACCGACCAGAACTACTTGGGCTCGCTGCGCGATACCGAGTCGTATATCATGTCCCTCAAGTCCCTGCTGAAGACGCGCGAGCAGAAACAGCTCGATTTCGAAGCCTTGGTCGAGTACCGCAATAAAGCCGTGACCGAGCGTGACTCTCTAGCTGCCAATCCATCTGCATATTACGCTTCAAACCCGCTCACCTCTTCCCCAGCATCTTTCATCCGCTCCAAAATGGAGGACATGCGTGGCGTCGACCACGAACAATCCCGCCGCGAGCGTGTGCGAAAGCTTGAGCTCCGCATTGATGAGTTGACCCGCGAGGTCGACTCTGCCAAAACTACATCCGAGATGTTCGATGAGGAGGTCATCCGCGAAGTCGCAGATTTCGAACGTATCAAGGCGGTCGAGTTCCGAGATGGACTCGGGGCCTTCGCCGATGCACACATCCAGTTCTACCAGGGCGTCCTATCTACATGGGAGCGGTTTGTAACAGAGATGGAGAGCGAAACTGAGCCCGGACATGACTCCGACGCGGCTGCTCCCGGTGCCGTTTAGGTATCTCGGTCTGAGCATGCTTGAGACGTTATCCGGACCGGGTCTGATATAGCAGTTCATGTCTGTTGCTTTCTAGCTTAATCCATGTTTCATACCAATACCATCATAACTCTTCATTTTTTTCTCAGATATGCGGCTACTCAGGCGAGTTAAATTGAATAGTAAATGAAGTAAAAATAACGATGAAATGAGGTTCCATGTCTTGAAGGGTCAATAGCTAATTTTCTTTTTAAAAAGAAGAGAGAGATTCCCAGCAGTGCATATCCTCAGGATATCAGACCGCGAACTTTGGCTCCAAGGTAAAAGCCCAAACCTACTCATTAGGAGCAAGCAAGTTTGTTGTTGCTCTCCATTACTAGTATGTACACTACCGAGGCTAGGGGAACATTAGATTCATACAAATCCCCCATTGTTTGCACTGTTTGCACTGCACCTCTATCTTCGATCATCCGATGCACCCTTCAATCACCAAACACAATGCGTCCAATCTCCAGAGCTCTACTTCGGCCGTACGTTTGCCCAACCTGCCGGCATGGCATTGGTGCCGGCCGGCGGCGATTCGGGTCTAAATCCGATACCCCGGAACTCTACGACGTGGTTTGTGTTGGAGGCGGGCCCGCGGGCCTAGGGCTATTGGCCGCACTTCGTATGTATAGCATAATGCAAACAAGCAAGACATCTACTGATCCAATGTTACTACAGGAGCATCGCCCATTACCTCAAAGCTCAAAGTCGCCCTCATCGAGAGCCAAGATCTCAACAAAGCCAAAGCCTGGGACCTCGAACCAAACCAGTTCTCCAACAGAGTCAGCAGCTTGACACCCTCGACCGTGTCGTTCCTGCGTAGCATTGGCGCCTACGACTGCCTTGATGTTACCCGTGTGCAAGAATACCAGGACATGCAGGTCTGGGATGGCCAGACCGGGTCCTCAATATCATTCGATTGGTCAATGGAGACATCACCATTCGAAGAAATGCGCACTGTAGCAACAATGACCGAGAACGCGAACCTGGTGCGCGCCCTGCTGCGCCGAATCGCAGACTCAGGCGATGAAAACCTCTCCCTCTTCTCAAATGCAACAGTCGCCTCCATTGAGAACGGTAAAGACCTCAAGCCCGAAGGTCCCGATCTCTCAGCCTGGCCAGTCGTTACCGTCAAGCCTACCGGACCCGCTGCAGAAACAGAGACGCCCAAGCGCATCGCCGCCCGCCTGCTAGTCGGCGCAGACGGTATAAACAGCCCCGTCCGCGCCTTCGCAGATATCCCCACCCAAGGCTGGGACTATGGCCGTCACGGCATCGTCGCAACCCTCGCGCTCGCAGAGCCAGCAACCCAGCCCTTCCCGGCCTCAAAGCGCACAGCATACCAGCGCTTCCTCCCTGCTCTCGGCGGGCCAATCGCCCTCCTCCCCCTGCCAAATAACCACGCAACTCTCGTCTGGTCAACGACCCCCGAGAACGCAGCTTACCTAAAGTCCCTCCCGACCCCGGCCTTCCTCGCCATGGTCAACGCTGCCTTCCGTCTAGACATGACAGACCTCAACTATATGATGGGCATGCAATCCTCCGATTCCACCCATTCCCACCAAGACGAACTCGCCTGGCGCGCGCAACACACATCCCTCCCAACCCAGATCCCTCCCCCAGCAACAGGCGTGCAGACCGGAACAGTGGCATCCTTCCCGCTTCGCTTCCGGCACGCGGCGCAGTATATCTCGCCGCGCGTTGCGCTCGTCGGCGATGCAGCGCACGTCATCCACCCTCTCGCGGGCCAGGGTCTTAATCTCGGCTTGGCAGATGTTGCTTCGCTCTCGAAGACTATCCAGTATGCTGTATCGCATGGAATGGATGTCGGTGATCTGCTTACGCTCGAAAGGTACTCGTCCGAGCGGTACTTGCCCAATGCGAAGATCGGAGGTGCTTGCGATCTCCTGCATAAAATGTATAATGTTCCTGGAGAAGGGCCTGTTGCTTGGGCGCGCAGTCTTGGGCTCGGTGTTGTTGATCGGCTGCCTTTTGTGAAGTCGTTCTTGATGAAGAATGCGGAAGGATATTAGTATCTCAGTGTTGTTCGTTGAGGCTGTGTATATGTATGGCTTTTCCTTCTGTGTATTGTACTTTTAGTCCTTTTTATATGCAAGCCTTGTTTTCTGCTAAGTTGTACTTTCGCTACATAGAAGCTCAGTGAAAAGTGAAATTAAGCCCACTGCTTCTACATAGTACTACCATATTACTTCCTTAATTTGACACTGAGGATAAAGTGAAACTGAGGGTAAAGTGAAACTGAATTTTCAGGCAACCAGGTGTTGATAGATACATACTTTATCAGTTCCTTGTAAAAAAATTGAAAAAAGCAGGAGAGAGGACGATCTCCGCGAGGGGCCCGTGAAACAAGTGACTATATCCCATTTCTAGGGCTTTTGGTTTTGGAGAAAGGATGAAACAGCGCGAAACGAGCGCGCAACCTGAAATCCGCCGGAACTTTGTCTCGGCAAGATAAGAGAGGGCTTTTTGGGGGGCGAGGACATCGTTGAGGGTTTCTCCAGAAGGAGGGCTCACCCGCTCAGCTATGTCCTCGCTGGACAATATTTATACATGCGCATGTCGTATTTAACATGCGACCATGGTATATTATACTAAAGCTAAAGCTTCTCTGAACTTCTCTGAAATCCAAGTGAAGCTTACGACCTAGGGAGTCTGCAATCCAAGCGAAAGCTTCTAATATCTTGTAACCCAAGGAGTCTGCAATCAAAGGAAGTTTGTGAAACCAAAGGACAGGGGAGATGCAACTTGAATGAATTGGGTATTTTGATAATTCTACTAAAGACATCAGTCCGAATCTATGAAAGATACATGTATCCTTTAGTTCTTTTCTCTCAACAACAACATCCCAGTCCTTTTAATAGGCCATCGAGCTGCAAGCCCGACAATGCAAGAGAGTACCATAATTTTAGGGTAAAAGAGGAACCCTGTAAAAATTCCTCTGAAAAACACGCTTATAAAGTAAAACAAAATGAAAAATGCACAGCAACAATTGTTGAATCGTTTAAACACTGGTGCCCTGCAATTGCTGCGCCAGAGAGGAGACAGCACCTTGCTGCTTCTTAGCAAGACGGGCCTGCAACTCGGAAACCAGGGAAGCAATCTCGACTTCGACACCCTCCTTCTCGGGGTGTCCGTCGGGCAGACCCATCTCCTTGATGCGGCACTTGCCGGCGGCGAGCTCGTCCTCGCCGAGGATGATACCAAAGGGAATGGCGCCTTGCTCGGCGGCCTTGAATTGCTGGGGAAGTTTGGGCTTCAGCTTGTAGGAGAACTCGGCCTTAAGATATGCATGTTAGTGTTTATTCAAATCGAGCAGTAACAACGTAAATGAACGGCTTACCTTGATACCAGCGTTCCACAACTTCTGGCAGATTTCCATGCGCTCCTTCAACATGCCGCTGAAGCCCTTACCACCGAAGGCCATGACGTATGCGTCGACCTCGCTGTTGCGGAGGGCGTCGGACTTCTGCTCGCGCTCGAGACGTGCCTTGGTGATGGAGAAAATACGGTCAACACCGAATGAGATTCCGACACAGGGGATCTGCGCTCTGGGCTGGAACATGCCGACGAGGTTATCGTAGCGGCCACCAGCAGCGACACTGCCGACGCCGAGTGTGGGGTCGTTGGATCGGTCGTCATCCTCGGAAAGCTTCTTGCTCTTCTTGTTGGATCTCTCGGCCTTCTGTGCCTCTGGGGCGTCGGCCTGCACACCAGCCGAACCCTCGGTAACAACCTCGTAGATGACACCGGTGTAGTAGTCCAGACCACGGGCGAGGGACATGTCGAATGAGATCTTGTCCAGCACGCCGAATGCCTCTAGGTAGTCCATCATCAGAGCCATTTCCTCGAGACCGGCCTTGGCAGAGGCATTAGCGTTGAGGGCCTCATCCTTCAGGAGAGAGTCGAGCAGCTCGCGCGAGCCCTTGTGCATAACGTATTTCTCAATGCGGTCCGCGACCTCGGGATCAAGACCCTTCTCGTCGACCATTTCCTTGCGCACATCCGCCCACGGCATCTTATCCAACTTGTCAACGGCACTGCAGATAGGCCGGGTCTTGTCCTCGGGCACGCCACAGACGGCAAAGACACCGTCCAAGATCTTGCGGTGGTTAAGCTTAATGGTGTATCGGCCGTTCCAGCCCAGCTCCTCGAAGACCTCGCAGACGATACGCAGGATCTCGGCATCGGGAACCATAGCGTCGAAGGTACCGGCGATATCGAAGTCGCACTGGTAGAACTCACGCATGCGGCCCTTGTTAATGGCGGGCTGGTCACGGCGGTAGACCTTGGCGATGTGGTAGCGCTTGATACTGCGGATGTCGGCGTTCATGGCGAGCCAGCGCGCGAACGGCACTGTCAGATCGTAGCGCAGCGAGCAGATCTCGCCACCCTGGTCCTTCAGATCGTAGATGAGCTTCGAGTCCTCGCCATATTTGCCAGCCAGAATCTCGCGCAGCTCGAAGACCGGGGTGTCTAGTGCGGTACCGCCGTGGCGCTTGAAGACGTTTGCGATGGTGGTGAAAATGCGGTCTCGGAGGATGGCATCGGACCCGGCCCAATCCTTGGTGCCCTTCGGGGTCTTGAGGTTGAAGTTTGAACCCTTATCTTTTGCCATTGTGATTGATTCGGCGGAGCGATGGGAGGAGGAAAACTGGCGAGTGCAGCGGGGATAAATTATTTGGTGGGGGATGGTGGGGGCAGGGATATTATTTTTATTCGAGATGACTCGACGGTTCTGCAGGGAGGGACACTGAGTCAGGCAAGAAATGGGAGACAGGCCAAATGGATTGGCAATTGCTCGTTGTATAGAGCGCGAAGGAACAGAAATGGACGGCATAAAAAAAAAAAGAACGGCGCTGCGAAACCAAATTATTTGGGTTCATCCCGGGCTTCTCCTGGTCTCCTGAGGCATCTGCTGGTTCGGAGCATCTTTCTGTTTAGGGGTTGTTCTTCCGAATGGTTGATCCGGACAAACCCTCTGGATGTTCCATCAACTCCTTCTCTGTCGTTTCTTTAGGTTAATATGTATGTAGTCAAAGAGATGCATATAAATGTCCGTTCTATGTACGGAGTACTGTTTATACCATTCCATTATCTGATTACATATGCATATATGTATTTATGCCTACCTACGTCCACACAAGGTAAGCTGACACCAACAAGGATCCAAGGTTGAAAGAGGCAATTTTAAACCTGTTGGACAAGATTTTCAAAGGCCTTGGAGCCGAGCTGTGGACTTCCCCGGATTTCCTTTTACAAATTACATTGGAAAGCTGAAAAACCCGAGACGCCTAGTTGCCCAGGTGCCTCATGCGGCTGTGGGAAAATACTCTCTCTCTCTTTCCCCTTTGGGAGCATGGCCTGTACATTCCAATGCGGTCATCATAAATGAGTATTTTCTTGTATATATGCTGTAACACATAGTACAACATTCACGGACACATATATATGTATATATGGATTACATACATGATGATGTATGTCGTAAATCAATTCAAATGTTCTGAAGCAACAAATATACTCCACAGAACAACGTCATTATAGAACTGATTATCTCCCAACATGCGCCTTTTTACCGAGCCCCTAGAGAGCTTGCCACCCCCACCATATATGTACCGCTACAGATTTGGAAACGGAGTCGCATTGCATATGTACTTTAATTTACTTTTTCTCAGCGGTCAGATCATCTTGAGTCATCCTTTTCGATCAGATGTTGAAGCCTAATGTACGGTAGATTAACCAGATTACCCCATCGCGGGAACGTGCGTCGGTGTGGAAAGGAATGGCTTAGTATCGCTGGATTGGTATTGCGGCGCTTATCGGAACCCCGCTGATTTAAATTGATCGAAGTCCGTACCCTGTAGGCTGACAGATACCTCATAACCTTGGAAGGTCATAGGAATTGGGAATCTCAGATTCATTTTCCCCCTGTCACATTTGAGAACAGAGTTCAACGGAATATGTAAGGAACACCCAAGAAGTCACATTTTCGCCTTTGGAAGGGGAGACTCCACCGCCACCTTCTTTTCCCCATGGCGAAGGTGATCATTGGCCATTGTGGCTACGCCATGCGAGGGGTGGACACATGGCCCGTGAGCGAATGACAGGTTAGAGCCAATCACTAACACGAACGTCTTGGGTTCAGCGATGAGAGAGGAGATTCTTAACTCACTCCCATGGACATGGGTTACTCCGCAGGGGAAATGAGCGTGGCCAATGGCTATATAAGATGGGGGCTCCGGTATAGCCGATGTTTCTTGTCTTCAATTTTGTTGAGAAGTTGTAGAGAAGTTTAGAAAATTCGGCGATTGGACCAGTACCTGCCTTAGGTCTCCACGTGGAGTCTAGAGGCTAAGATGAATGGGGTAGGTCAAGAGATAGAGAAGTTTTAGTTGTAGTTTTAGGTGTTTTTGGGTCAGTTTTGGAGGTTTCTGTTGCATTTTGTATTACTTTTGTTATGTTACTTATGTTACTATGTTACTACATAGTATACACATAGTGTTTTGTATGTTAAAATAAATTGGGTCCATTCCAGGGAATTTCCCTCTCTTTTTCTACTAAATTTATCTTAACTTCCTTGATCTCTTTAATCTATTTTATATCCCCAACACCTAAGCATATTACCCCATAACTTTGGGGACTTGCACTTCATTCTCTCCCGCCCCCTCTCATTTCCACCGGACCCCAGAAACCTTATGTGATCAACGATCACTCTATTTCCCCGGACGCGCTTTATTCCCTTCTCATCACTCTGTCTTATGTCGATCAACCTACTGTGATATCTACAACCACTGAGCTTCGAGCGTCATCAATGCGGAGTGCGACCGACCATTAAACCATCATGAAGTCGCTATTCTCAAAGGGCAAGAATGGGGTGAGTGACAACGATACATCCCTACAGGCCATGCTCTTTTCGACCTGGTAGCACAGCAGATGCTTCGGGCACCCCGTAAGACCATTCGGATTAGGACCGCCACTGACTTGCACTTTGCACTTCAGGCTTCTAACCCCCCGGCCACGGCGCCACCCGTGAAAAAAGACGTCCAGGTACCGCAGATTTCACCACTAGAAAAGAGGTTGCAGGACATGGGATCCATCCGTGGCGACGGGAGTGACAAGTTTTATGGGATGGAGAACGTGAGTCCCCAGATTTCTTCCCCGGACTCTGTCTGGATCAAGTCACTGACCACAATCCCCGCGCTTGTTCTAGTATGGAAATACGTGTTATTGCAACTCAATCCTTCAATGTCTCTACTACTCGGTACCCTTTCGCGAAGCCGTCATCAACTACCCACAACGCACACCGATGGACAGCCTCGAGGCTGCGCTCGCAAAGAACCTACGTTATCAGAACCCAGCTGCTTACTTCGAAGCTGAGGCGCTGGCTGCCAAACAAAAGACTTCCTCCCCACCATCCGCGCGCCAGGCCGGGGTGCCCCCGAATCCAAACCAGAAGCCTGAGGACAAGGAGTCACCGGAATACAAGAAGAAGGTAGCGCTACAGACCCTTCCGATTTTAGAAACCAAGAACAACGCGACCAGCTATGGAATGTCGGAGTCCCTTTTCACTTCGCTCAAGGACATCTTCGAATCGGTGGTAGCAAGCCAAGCGCGCATTGGTATCGTTCGCCCGCAACAGTTCCTAGACGTTCTACGACGAGAACACGAAATGTTTCGCACCGCCATGCACCAGGATGCGCATGAGTTTTTGAACTTGCTCCTCAATGAGGTGGTGGCCAATGTTGAAACCGAGGCCACAAAGCAAGCCTTCACAGAGAAGGCTTTACCACCAACGGAGAGTGCAGATTCGTTAGGAATGGTGACACCTAGCACGGGCTCGAAGTCACCAAATACCACAAGATGGGTTCACGAGCTGTTCGAGGGAACTCTGACATCCGAGACTAAGTGTCTTACTTGTGAAAAGGTCTCCCAGCGAGATGAGGTGTTTTTAGATTTATCGGTGGATCTTGAGCAGCATTCGTCCGTGACCTCTTGTCTCCGAAAGTTTTCGGCCGAGGAGATGCTCTGTGAGCGGAATAAGTTCCACTGCGACAACTGCGGTGGGCTACAAGAAGCGGAGAAGCGGATGAAAATCAAACGTTTGCCTCGTGTGTTGGCTTTGCATCTAAAGCGTTTCAAGTATACTGAGGACTTGCAGCGACTGCAGAAACTGTTCCATCGCGTCGTCTATCCCTACCATCTTCGTCTGTTTAACACCACAGACGATGCCGAGGATCCAGACCGGCTCTACGAATTATATGCGGTGGTTGTTCATATTGGTGGAGGACCGTATCACGGCCACTATGTTGCCATTATCAAGACCGAAGACCGTGGTTGGCTGCTGTTCGACGACGAGCTCGTAGAACCAGTGGACAAAAATTACGTACGCAACTTCTTTGGAGATCGACCCGGATTGGCGTGTGCCTATGTTCTATTCTATCAAGAGACAACTCTTGAGGCTGTCATGCGAGAGCAGGCGGAGGAAGACCAGGCCTCGACGGCTGCAGCGACCGAAACAGGCGAGGCTGGAAAGCCTCACGGATCTCCCTTCTCACCACCACTGTCTCATGCCCAAAGCGCACCTGTGCCTCCTGAGAATACAGCCCCCTTCACCCCTCTCAGCCGAATCCCAACGGCACCCCCACTGTCTACCTATCCAGAAGAACACTCGGAGCCCCATCTAGCTTCGCCGCGAACCGTTCAATCGCATCTCCCTCCGATCCCTGACGAACCGGCTCCTCCATTGAGCCCAAAGAAGAGCGATCATCAACTACGGAAGGAACGCCGGGCTATGGAGAAAGAGAAGGAAAAGAATGAAAGGCACCGCCTGAAGGAGCAGGAAATGTACAACCGAGAATTGCACCGACGAGAGACGGAGGAGTTGAGAAGAGCCATCGAGGCCAGCAGAGCCGATAGTGTCGATCTCAGCGCCGAGAATGGATCACCAAGGAAGTCGAGCAGTTTCGGCTTTTTGAAACGAAGCAGCCGCAGTCTCAGTCACCGACTCAGCAAGGATAGAGAGCCCCGACTCTCAACATCTGATCTCTCAACACCACTTCTTCAAGAGGTTGTGCCAGAAGTACCACTCAGGGAGGAAGAACATCCATACAGCAAACCAGTTCAGCCGATCAAGCCAATCCACCAGGCCCAGCCAGTTCAGTCACCGGTTTCTTCTCCGAGAGATTTCCCACCTATCTCCAACCCCAAGCAACCCAAACAACCCATCCGGGCCCCCGAGCCCTTGGTCAAAGACCAACACACCAGCCATACGAAGCCCGGCCATACCCCCCGGTGGAGAACTTTCAGTTTCAAGAAAGTATCTTAAACTACAATCAGTGTTTTTTTCTTTCTCAGATAGCACTTATTTTCGCTTTTCGTCTACACATCTTCAGCCCGACTTTCAACGGAGATACCCCCCTATCATCTTGCACATATGAGCGCAAATTTTTGCTTCTGCACATAGCTTCCTTTAATGGATGTACTATCATGTTCTTATGATCTGCGCTTCTCCATCTTCCCATTCTCCTGTGGAGGTCCTCGCTCCTCACCGGGGTATTTCCACAGCCATGTCTTTCTAGACTCTGTTGGATCTCAGATCCCGGTTCTCTTTTAGTCTTCTTGCTTTTTCCACTGTATCTTGCTTTTTTTATTTGTATTTTTTCTTTTCTTCTTCTCTTGCTATCATTGCTTTTCACTACTGCCACCTTTTGATCATGTACAACGGTGGATACCTATACTGACAGGGCCGAAACATGGCAGGTTCATGAAAAGAGGCGTATCGGGTTTGCTGTCTTTGCTGGCGAGCGTGGGTCTTTTGCTGGATTTGGGCGTTCTGAACTGTTTTCATATCTCATTTCAAGTCATGAGCGAATCTTCTCTTTTTTTAGCACGTGTTTGGTCCGTTCCTCTATTTTATGCATACGTACAGTAATTCGGCTTGTTTACTTTCATCTCGGTTGTCTATGCCTGCGAGAGACCAGTCACCAACCCGGATAGAGGACAAATACAAAATATAGGTTTGCTCCAGTTACACAACAACCCCCTAACTTCATGTAAACCACGTCTCGATCATGTGTCATTGCAGTTCTAGCATTTTGGTGGGTATATAGGTACAGGCCAGAAGTAATTCAAACTCGCGGAGAGAAAGACGGGCTATTCGCTGCACGCCACCACCATTCCTCTATTTCACCCAGCCCAACATAAGATAAAGTAGAGGCTCCTGGCAGCGGTGTTCAGGTCCTATTACACAAACCCCAGTTCCACCTATGCTCCTTGCTCGTGTGGATCGTGCCGCGTTTCTCCTTTGGGCATCATTAAAGATATAGAGGTATCGGATATTCTGAATGGCTTGTTTGAGGGGAGGTCACAGCGCAAGTTGTAGTGAAACAGCTATGTAGGTTGGCAGGGCAGTAGGGTAGGTAGCTATCAGCAGGGTCGCAACGGATCCGTGAGGGAATTCGACGCGTGGAGGAAATGGCGAAGGGACGAATTTAACCAAGAATCAGTTCGTAGACAATGATGACCGTGTTGATGACGATAAGGGGTACTGTGGTGTGGATGTGTTAGCCATTCTGTCGGGCTAGGCTGGAAATGTCTTGTTTTATTGAGCAGAACATCCTGCGACTAGTTCAAGGTTGAAAGCTATTGCTCAAATCCAAGATACAAGACTGGGCTGGTAATATCGGGCTGCCTGGGGTTGGGAACGTACTCCGCATCACGGTCCGCACACTGGCGATCAGGTTGACGGACTTGGCTTTCACGCTGGTGCTATCGTATGTCGCGCCGAAACCGGGCTCAGCTTGTGTGCGACCCCATCCGACTGTATATGGCAGACCATTCGTTAGATTCTTATCTTCTGACGATGTAGCCGGGGAGGGACATACCGCGAGCTAGGAAGCGGTCTTCGGAGAGGACGGCGATCGCATTGATGATGAGGATGATGACTGGGAGTCGGGATATTAGTATAAGCTCAAGAATGAAGATACCAAGTACATACCGTAAACCAGCTTCCCAAGACCGAAGAAAAACATCTTTGCGGGTTGAGGAAGTTGCTAAAGGTGAAATGCGGGAGGCGCCAGATCTCCGGATTAACACTCTCTCGGATGCAGTCACTATGGGATATGGTTCGTTCGCTACGATCTTATAAGAACACTAGCAGATAAACTAACTGGTTTTACTTTATAGCAACTGCGGTTCTCGCTCTTCTCTTCCCGGCCTTGATCCTCCTCCATCTCTTCGTCGCTCCATACACTAAAGTCGAGGAGTCGTTCCACGTCCAGGCTGTACATGATATCCTAGCCAACGGACTACCAAATGGCTTTAATGACCCAACTCTCAACCGCGCCGACTATGACCATTTCTCTTTCCCCGGGGCTGTTCCTCGGAGCGCCATTGGCGCTGCGGCGCTCGCTATGCTCTCGAAGCCTGTCATCTTGTTGAATGAGGGGATCAACCGCCAGGTATTAGGTACGACATGGGCTTATACTATACTTCCAACCAAGCTAACGTCAAAACCCAGCTCGCGCTATCCTGGGCCTAGTTAATGCCTCCTCTCTAGCAATCTATGCAAGAGGCCTGCGCCGCACGTTTGGCCAGCCAACAGCGATCTGGTATATCCTATTCCAAGCAAGCCAGTTCCACATGATATTCTATGCCTCAAGGCCCCTATCAAACATGTTCGCCTTCAGCATCACAACGCTAGCAATGTGTCTGCTCCTCCCAAACCTTCGTCGTTCAACACCCCAAGACCAAAAGCAATGCGGCCTTGCACTCGCCCTCCTCACCACCGCAGGCGTAGTCTTCCGCTCCGAACTAGCCCTCCTAGTCGGAACACAGACTCTCTCCCTCCTAGTAACAAGACGGATCAATCTCAGAAACACCGTCATCGCAGGCCTAACAGGCCTCACAACCGGCCTAGCCCTGACAGTCTATCTTGACAGCACCTTCTGGCAGAGCTTCCCCCTCTGGCCTGAGTTCGAAGCCTTCCGCTTCAACGTGCTGGAAGGCCAATCCTCAGAATGGGGAACAGAGCCGTGGTCATTCTATTTCCTGAACTCCCTCCCCCGCCTCCTCTTCAATCCCCTCTCCTACCTGATCGCCATCCCCGTCGCCCTCCGACAAACAGCGACCCGATACTCAGCCCTGGCACTTCTAGTCCCAGCGCTTTCCTTCGTCGCACTATACAGCTTCCAGCCTCACAAGGAATGGCGTTTCATCGTCTACATCATTCCCTCACTCACGGCTGTAGCTGCGCTCGGCGCTGCGTATCTCTGGACGCACCGCTCGCGCTCGCTTTTCGCACGTCTGGCAACACGCGCACTAGCTATCTCGACACTCGCTATGTTCTGTTTGTCGAATTTTGTTCTCCTCCCGGCCTCAGCAGCGAATTACCCCGGTGGTCAGGCTATTGATGCCATGCATTACCAACACAATCTTCTCCACGGTACGGGTTTGCATTCTGAAAATAACAACCCACCTATCAATGTTTACCTAGGTAATCTCGCCTGCCAAACGGGCGTAACACGCTTCTTGCAACAGCCCCCTTCGTCGGGGTGGGTATACGACAAAACCGAAGACAAGACTGTTAAGTCTACTACTGGGTTTTGGGACCGATTTGATTATGTCGTTGTCGAGGCAGATGCAGAGTCCGGGTTCATGGATGCCGATGAGACGAGTCTCCGGCGCGCACTTCCTTCTTCCGATTGGGAGAGGGTGCATGTAGTTGATTCGTTTGCTGGCATTTCAGTTTTGAAGCCTGGGGTTCCTGCTACGGGGACTGCTGAGCGACGCCTTATTGGTGCTGTTGCTGGTGCGCGTGCTGTTGATTTGTTTGAGGGTCTGTGCGAGTATGTGAGGAACTCTTTGTTGCGCGGGTGGTGGGTTGAGATCAAGATGAGACCGAGGGTTCAGGTGTTGAGACGGGTGAGGGGGGAGATAATGTTTAGTATAGAAGTTGGTAGATTTTGGTTTTGTCCAAGTAATCTACACTCATATTGTAGGAAGTAGGGTGATATAAAAACCAACAGGGCCATCTGGTATGGAACCGATATTAACAATTGAAAGATAACTACAATATGCCCTCAACATTCGACAAGTACATGCAAACTGGGTATTATTCATCAAATCTGTCCAGAGCAGATCAAAAAAGTAGACACAAGAAATAGATCACAGTGCCGAATGGCCTTCCAGACGCGCCAAGCGAGACTCCAAGTCACGCACCCAGGGCTCGACAACCTCCACGTTAGAGCGGAGAGCAGCTTCACCATGCTGCATCTTCTCTTCAACGGTCGTCAGACCTTCGCGCCACTGCTCGATCTCCGATGCCATCTCAGCATGGCGCTTTTCAAGCTCGTTGAGTGAGTCTGCAGCGTGGGCTGCGCCGGCATGGCAGGCGCGCAGAGAGCGCAGACGCTCAAGGACGCTTGGGAGCAGGGGGTGCAGGGATTGGATTGTTGGGAGGGTTGTGTAGAGGGCTTGGATCTTGGCTACGTGGTCGTCGTCGGTTGATGCTTCTAGTGCGGGGATGACGTCGGCGTCGGAACTTGCTAGACGGGCGTTGTGGACGGCCTTTGCGGCTTCAAAGGCTTTTCTGCGGGCTGCGGTGAGCGCTTCAGCGTCGGTGGTTAACTTTCGGACTCGGGTGGAGAGAGCTTCCAGATGTGGGGTTGTCATTCCTGGAGCGGCATTGGCTACTCTTGGGGCTGTGGATGCTGGATTCGTGCCGACGAGAAGTCCGGTGAGTGCGGAGAGGCGGGAGGTGAGCTGGTCTAGAGCTGGGAGGACTGCGTGTGACGTTGACTCGTTGATGCCATCGGCAATGAAGGGGTTGGAGGAACCTGAGATACCCATGGAGCTTTCGAGAAGCGCCAGACGGCTGTCGAATGCTGCTGCGTGAGAGAGGATCCCTGCTGAAGAGGAAGTTTGGGCCGGCACTGTGGAGGCTGCCTTTGATGCATCGACCGAGGATTGTGTCTTTGCGTCTATAGCAGAGCGAATCTGGGGTGCAAGCTTCTGCGAAAGCAAAGCTGCAGCCGAGTGCGATGAGCTCGCCGCATCTCTTGAGGCGTGTAGATTGTCCAGAGCTCGGCTCAGCTCCGCAACGCCGTCGCCTAGGTTCTCTCCTGATTTTTCAGCTGCCGCGCCACTTTGCGACGATTCGTTTCCAGCTTCTGCGCTATCCTTTTTGTTGGCCATCTCCACCTTGAGATCTTCGACCTCCCTCCGAAGCCGTGCAAGCCTCCGATCAAGTGACTCGTCCTCGCTGTCACTGAGATCGCCGACCTCCTCTACCCCATCCTCGCGTCTTCTCCGGCGGCGGCGGCTCATACTCTTGCTCCGATATGCCTGCCGCTTCTGGGAAATGCTATCTGAGAAATTGACGTCGCGGGCGTCCACGGCCGCGCCCATGAAGTGCATACGCGCCTGGTCCGCGTTGACACCCTCGCGGTCGATGTCGGGGCTTGAGCCTGCATCATCGTGATCGGATTCTGTGCGGATAGTAGCAGTCTAGACAGGATCAGTAATGAGGCCCGGTGATATCTCTTTAGTATGGAATTGGCGGACTCACAGGCAAGGTGGATGCTTCGTCGGTCAAGTCGGGGGTTTCATAGATATCTGGGGATGGGTCCTGGGTCACGGTTAGTGGAAATTGCAGTGGATATCAAAAGCCAGCATTCCTCACCAGATCAGGAAGGCCGGCATATTTCTTATTGAAAGACATGATTGGATTGTAGCTCTCCAAGTATAGTAAACACCGAACTTGGGGCTTAATCACATGTACAGTCAGCAGTCATGTGATCTCTAGCCTCGGATTCAGGAACGAACACATGCAATTGACGCAATTGGACTTGAAGTTCATTTGACCAAGACAACTATATATATTAAGGTGACATCGCTTGACAGTTGCAGTATTTATTCTCCGTTTTACCCCAGTTCAAGTTTTCTCGTTAATTGACTGAAATCGCCCTTTTCTCGCTCATCAACTTTCCCCCCCACCATATCCCCGCATTTCATCTTCAACTATATACATCAACCTTCAAGATGGCCGCCCCTGCTGATGTTACTCTCCAAAATCTGAGTGGAAAATGGGAGATGGTATGCTCATATAAACCATCCAGATCAAATCGAATCGTATACTCATGTGTAATAGGACTCCACCCACTCTAACCCAGCAGACCCTCTTCTATCCTTGGTATGCACCCCCAAGCCCAAGCCCAAGCCCAAACCCTAATCCCCGAAGTTACCCCAACCATAAGACAGAGGACCTACTATCCCATCCAATCATATAAATCTATTCACATGCACAGCATAACATTAATCACTATCATCCCTACCTATACTATCCATAACCCTATCCTCTAGCAACCTACTAACAAACGCAAACAGCAAGGAATGGGTTGGGTCATGCGCAAGGCCATCTCCTACGCAACAGTGACAATCTACGTCAAGCAGTACGCAGACAGCGAAGACGCGACGCTCATCCACGTCGACGCACAGCAAGTACTCACAGGCGGCATCCAAGGCACCAAGGAAGAGCGCAAGTTGGACTGGCAAGAGCGCGAGCACGTCGACCACATCTTCGGCAAGCTGAAGGGTCGCTCGCGCCACCTCGCCGCCGCTAAGGGCGAGGACGGACTTGTGCGCCCTGTTATTGAGATCCAGACCAAGGTCGGCAACCCCGAAGCTGATGCTAAAGTGCAGAAGTTCCTGACTGGTGAGACCCTTATTGATGGGTCGAAGAGTGAGGGATTCCTTGCTGAGGAGGGCGAGGGAGCGTTTTTGCAGAGCTGGGTGGTGAATTCGGAGAGTGGGTGGACTGCGGAGCAGGTTTGGGGATTCGAGATTATCGATGGGGAGAGGCGTCATACTCGTCGCGTTGTTATTAGTAAGGGCGGGAAGGTTGCTTCTGCTAGACTAGTCTACGCTTTCAAGGAGCGGAAGACTGAGGAGTAAGATATTTGTGTGTTAGTATAGGCCTTGTATTTTTTTCTGGGAAGATTATAGTTTTTCTTTATCTTGCTACAAAGCATAGGTTAATGAAGCATTCAACCTAGCCAATTGATTTTGTTTGATGGTAATATGTATTGGTGAAGTGCTTAGTTTGATTATAGACATGCTACATATAAACGAACTGGTGGAATGATGAAGTGTGGGGATTTCGGGATTGTTTCATTTCTGGGAATCAATATCATTCTGATGCTGCATCAATCTGGTAATCCATGTGCATGTTCCTGGGTACTGGGATATAAGAGCAAGTATATGATTCAAATACATTCATTGAGATCCACGATGCGTGTTTTGTTTGATAAGAAAGGACAAAATTTATCATGCAAATGATTGGCTAAAAGAAAATCAAGAAAGCAATAGAGGCAGATACCAAGATGCTTACGAGTGAGTGGGCATCACCACGTTAGCCTTGGTGCTGATCGCATCCTCGCTCTTCCAAAGGCTGGTCACAGTCTTCTGCTGGGTATAGAACTGCAAGCCGGGCTTGCCGTAGAAAGTGTTGGCACCGCCACCAGCAATACTCTTCTTGTTACCGGTGAAAGAGAACATGGGAAGAGGGACGGGAATGGGCACGTTGATACCGAGCTGGCCAGCCTCGCACTCCTTCTGGAACTTGGAGGCGGTCGAGCCGGAGCGGGTGAAGATGGCGGCACCGTTACCGTATTCGTTGGCGTTAATCATATCGATAGCATCGTCAAGGGTCTCGACGTTAAGGCACACGAGGACGGGACCAAAGATCTCCTCCTTGTAGCACTTCATATCGGGAGTGACATTAGTGATGATGGTTGGGCCAACCTGTAGAGACGCAATTAGTCTGAATTACACAGATGTAGAATATTTATGTAGTGCAACTTACGAAGTTACCGTTGGGGTAGTTCTCGGGCTTGAACCCACGGCCATCCAGAAGAATAGTCGCACCTTCTTCCTCGGCGCTAGCAATCAAGTCCTCAATACGCTTCTTGCTCTCGGGGCTGATCACAGGGCCGAGATCAGCATCACTCTCAAAGCCACCGTTCACGACCAGGGCCTTGGCCCGCTCGGCGATCTCAGGCAGCCACTCCTTCGTCTCGCCAACCATAACGCAGGTGCTCAATGCCATGCAGCGCTGGCCAGCAGCACCAAATGCAGCGCCGACAATGGCGTTAAGAGAAGAGTTCTTGTTGGCGTCAGGCAGGATGGCGGCATGGTTCTTAGCACCAAGGTTGGCTTGCACGCGCTTGCCGTTGGCAGAGCCACGAGTATAAATGTATTCGCCAGCACGGTTGCTACCAACAAAGCTGATAGCCTTGATAGCAGGCTCGTCAAGGATGAAGTCCACAGTGGGAGCGGCGCCGTGGATGATGTTAATCACACCAGGTGGGAAACCGGCCTCCTTGGCAAGCTCTGCCAGGATCATCGCAGCACCGGGGTCGCGCTCGGATGGCTTCAGGACCAAGCAGTTACCAGTCACAGTAGCAACGGGAATCGACCAAAGGGGAATCATAGCAGGGAAGTCTGATTAACAATTAGCATGTTTGTGGAGGGAGGATTCAAAGTGTTGACATAAACAACTTACTGAAGGGGCAGATAGCAGCCACGACACCGAGCGGCTCGCGGTAGCTTCTTGTCTCCATATCCTTAGCCACCTCTAAGACCTCGCCGGTCATCTGGGTGGTGATACCGCAGGCAGTCTCGGCAACCTGAAGACCACGGAGAACATCACCCTTGGCGTCGGCGAAAGTCTTACCCTGCTCTAAAGTAATGGATGCGGCCAATCGGTCCCAGTGGGTACGGATGAGGTTAGTAAACTTAAAGATAATCTGCTGTCTGGCCATAATGCTGGTGGCTCTCCAAGCGGGGAAGGCCTTCTCGGCCGACTCCACAGCGGCCTTCAGCTCCGCATCTGTGCTCTGGGGCACACGGGTGACCAAGTTATTTGTGGCAGGATCATGGAGATCAATCCATTTGGTTGCCTTGGATGAGACAAACTCATTGTCAATGAAATTAGCAGTGTCAATTGGGTTGGCAATCTTTTGGTGGCTTGTTGGGTATTCAGTAGCGGTGGAGTCGGCTGAGGTTGTTGCGGTGACGAGGCGGCGGGCTGTTGCGTGCAAGCGGCGAGTAGCAGAGAGTGATGAAGAGGGCACAGCTGCTCTGCGGGAGACCAGACTGGCAAGGGAAGTGGTGGTGAGAGATCTCGAAGATGTAGCTCTGGCAGTCACCGCCACCGTGCGGGGAACAGCGCGCAGAGCGGGGATGGAACGGGCGACCGACCGACAAGCAGCCATGATGAATTGTAGGGAAGGGGAAAACGAAGACAATTGCAACTCAGGGATGAATCCAGAGGCGAAGTAAGTTCATAGACTAAGTAGAAAGAGAAATATGAAGACAACTCGGGTCCTCGGGATTCATATACATGCCTAGGCTAGGTTACCCCAGGTCCGAGGTCAACCGCCTTAGTCACACCCAGCCAGGGCATTCCCCACGTTGAACAAATGGACCCCCAGATAAGCCAGGGAGGTAACTCTTTCGGCGTTTTCAGCCAATTATAAGTGGGGAATTGATTTCTCAAATCGCCGACTACTAACTGGCGTTTAATCGCGTATATTGTTTTTCCGATTGTCGCGCAAATATTGTACGTAGTAGGCAAGTGATCTAGTCAATTAGGAAGGTACTTGCGTTTTCAGGCTAAGCTAAGCTTTACTCTACGTCTTACTTTGTACATATATATACCTACTTAGGTAGTTGTATATGGATGGCTAGAAGGTCATAGCTATGACACTATTAAAAGGCACAAAGGGAATTTTCTCCGAGAAAAATAAAAAAGTGAATATCAAGTGGAAATAGTGATAAACTGAAGTATACAAATCGGGCCTTCAATGTTCTTCATGAACGTTCTGACTGCTACATCGGCCAAGACACAAAAAGGGGATCACTGTGGTAACTAAATGCAAATATCTTTGCTGGTTGGGTTTATGGGTAAAATTCTTTTATGCGTATAATTGGTTTCCAATTATTGCATTTACTCTGCGGAGGAACGGGTAGTGCGTTTGGTGGCACCGCCCTTGCTGGTCTCAGCGGAAGAGCTGACAGCCTGTTCCTTCTTTTCCTTGGGAGCACCGGCGGGCTGCTTGCCCTTCTTCTCGGCCGGGGCGGCAGGGCTGCTGGCGCCAACGGCACTCACAATGACGAGGATCATGGTCAAGAGGAGCGCACCCAGGCCACCGGCCACCTCAGGGAGGGTCTTGGCAGCGTTGATGGGGTCCTCCTTGGCCAGCTCAACGAAGTGGTTGACCTTCTCACGGACGAAGGTGACAGGATCCTCCTTGAAGGTGGTGGTGGTGGTGCTCTCTTCGTTGACCTCGGGCTTGGGCCTGGAAGCCTCCTCCTCGGCCTGCTCGATGGGGTACTTGACATCGAAGGTCTCCTTGCGGAGCTTCTCAGCATCCTCAACGGAGTGACCAATGTAGACGTTGTCAAACAGAATGTCATTCTGCATGGTCCAGATCTCGAAACCAATAGCGCCCATGGGCTCAAGGTTGGATGGAGTCTTGTCCTCGAAGAAGGCGGGGTTCTTGATCTTACGGGGGGCCCAGACACCCTTGTAGGCAGGGTTCTCGATGAGAGGAGCCTCCCACTTGCCCTTGTACTCGGGGTTCTTCATCATAGGGACGGTCCAAGTGCCACAGCCAGAGACATCAGCACACTTGGGGTTGGGGACAGTGGGAGCGAGCCAGTCTCCATCTTCCTCATCATCCCAATCCTCGGGCTTCTCGGCCTCGGGGTCGGGAATGCTCTCGGCCTCATCCTCCAGCCAGTCGGCGGGCTTGATGGCCTCCTTATCGAGGACCTCGAAGGGAGCTTCCTCATCCCAGTCAGCGGGCTTGGTGGCCGCGGGATCGGGGATCTGAACCTCATCGACCCAGTCGGCGGGCTTAGAGTCCTTGGGATCATCAATCTCCTTCTCAGGGTTGACGGGAGGGTTGAAGTCCTCGAGGAGGCTGCCCTTCTTGGCGGAATCGCCGTTGATCAGGATCTCGAAGGTCTGATCGGGGTTGACGATCAGGGTGTAGAGGGAGGTGACCTTGTCGGTGCGGGCCACAGGAGGAGTCTTAAGGTGCTTCTCCTCGTACTCGCCGGTCTTGGGGTTCTTGTGGCGGAAGATGAAGTGAACCTTGTTGGTAGCACCGCACTTGTCAGGACCGAACATGATGACATAGGGAGTGCCGTTGGAGAACTCCTCCTGGTGGAGCTTCTTGTTCTCCTGGAGAAGCTTAAGGTAGGCACCGCCGCAAACCAGAGAGTCTATCACACAGAACAATTCCAGTCAGCATATAAACACGCGAGAAAAATGTAGACAGTCATGACTCACTCTGCGGCTTGACCTCGTACTGAACCACTAAGGTCTTGCCCTTGTTGTCAATCTTCTTGGGGAACTTGGCGGAGATGGCGTGATGGGCAGCGGCGTTCTTCACGACCAGTCCCTTGTCGCCATCGATACCCTTGAAGACGGAGGGCTCCTCGACTGCCCATTCACCGACGTAAGCCCAGTCATCTTCGGACTTGTCGTCCTTCTTCGCGTGGGAAGGCTTCCACCGAGACTCCCAGTCGTCTGTGAATTGTTCCAAGAAGGGAGCTTTGAGACTGGTGGGCTTGAATAAGTTAGTGGGAGGGGATAGAGTGGGAGTGTTTTTAGATACATACAGTGAAGGTAGGCTTCTCAATGACGGTGGTATCCGCAGTCTCCTCCTCCGCATGGGCGTAGCCCATGAGGCTGGCTGAGGAGACCAGAGCCGATGTCAACGCAGTATTGAAACGCATATTGCAACAGGTAGAAGGAATGAGAGTGGAGCGCACAGCACCAAAGTGAAGAAAAGAGGAGATGTGGTTTTATAGAAGAGCAACCACTGGGGGAAGGTCCAGGTGGCCTCTTCACTTAAGCTCCCCAATCGGGACTAGGGCGTGTACACACGGGTTTCGATCTTATTCTACATACATTTTTTTTCACCTTTGATCCTTTTTGATCATTCAAGTAAATATATAAGAGTTATTTTCAATTAGCGAATAGAGAAATCTGAATTATTAATATATTTCATTTCATAGTTATGTATATACACCCAATATTATGTTGTAAATAATGCGCTGAAATCCAGGTACGGAGTACAATGTGTCCCCAAGTACATTGTCCAGTGCAGATCTCCCCGATTACTCTTCTTCTCCCCCGCTCCAACGTCTATTGGTTATTCGGCACTCTCGGCGCAAAACATATCTCACCTGGACAGGTCACAACCTTGGAAATCTTACTCAAATCTTACTCAGCCCTCTTCTAGGACTTTGGGAATATCTGTCTTCATAACCCCTACCTATATTATTGTACGTCCACAGGTGGTGTAGTTAATGACGCATCCTTGCGTTGTGCATGCCTTAGGGACTACCACCACTCTAGATAGCTCCCACTCCTCTTTCTCTCTCTCTCTCTCTCTCTCTCTCTCTCTCGGTAGTTCTCTCTCAGTGATTCTTCCTCTCTAATCGACTATGGAACAAGGATTCTGCCCAGTTACATATCTCTGGATTCTCGATGGCAATCAACGTCGACCATAGCTGGAAATGGAACGATGACATTTATGCAATGTATCTGGTCAAGCGACCCAATATTCGCTGGGAGAATACCACTCAATGGGAGTGGTGAAACAAGAGAAGAATCCACCTAATTATGGAGATACGAGTAAGCTCCCCTCTTTTGTAGAGGTGCGAGTATCTCTTACCTGACTCCACTTCACTTATGAAGACAAGAGCAGATTTCCGTCCCTTTTTTTAGAGATGTGAGCGATCATCTTAACGTCCTCCCGCAGGTAAGTCTACAGTGGCAGCGCCCCATAGACAAGCTGATCCAGCAGAACACGGAGCTATCTGGTCGCCTGCAGCTCGGACGAGCACCCTCGGAGGATAATGTGCATACGGTTGTCACAGGCGACAGAAGTACCGGAGGTCTGTAGAAAGAGTCCGAGATCAATGTGAACCTTGACTCCGACAGTAAGGAAATGGAAATTGGCAATGCTGATGTTTGAGTCTCGTTGTGCTCTGCTCTATTTTGTTTTGCTGTTTTTTTTTCCAATGCCCTTACAATTGAATTCATCATTTCACTTTCTACTTCATCACTAGAATATTCGGCCGCTCATATGGCCTCGTTGTGTGTTCTTGGCGGTCTTTTTGGTGTCTTTTTGAGATATATTTTGGCCCTCTTCTCAGTTCTATACGTAGACGACTTTTTTATGTACATATATGTAACCAGGGACTTTCTCGCCCTAACCCTAGTCGTGGACATGGGCAGATTCTGGTAGTACATGAGTCCAACTTCACGCCAGCTATTGAAATTGAGTTATGTTTTCTCCCACACGGCTCTCTGTGGACCACCGAAAAATCTGTCTCTAAATCTCGCCGGACTACTCCGTATAGCTCAGATAGAAATGCTAGTCTTGGAAACAGTTGTTGTGGAGTGGGTGCCTTAGTCCACCAGGTGAATGCCACAGGCATGAGACGACAGTTCACCTGCAACTTCAGCCTTGATGAGCAAAGACTGCCACAAATCGCGATGTGAAGGAGGTGAAAGATGGCCGGTCTACGAATGCGCCTCATCACTTCATCATCCTCGCCCTTTCTCATTGTCCGATCACGTTATCTTCGAGCACCTACGCTGCCCCATCGACCGACTCACACGATGGCAGCACATAGTCAAGCAATTGAAGAGCAGACCCTCCCATTGTATCATCGAAAATATTACTACCCAGTCAAAATTGGCCAAGTCTTTAATGATCGATATCGGATAATTTCGAAGCTTGGTTACGGTGCCTACTCCACTGTTTGGCTTGCGTGGGATGAGAGGTCTTATAGCGTTAAAGTTGTTTTGATATGGGCGGCAGTTGCTGACTTGGAATCTAGGGAGAATGAATATACCTCACTGAAAGTCTCTGTGCAGGTTGACAATAATAATGCCGAGCTATCTCCCGTTCTCAACGAAATCAACGTGCTCCAGCGTTTGAAGCAGTTCGCTGATGAGGATCATCCTGGTCTTGACTTTACAAGGCTTGCGCGTGATATATTCGAAACAGAAAGTCTCTCTGGCCGCCATTACTGCACTGCATATAAGCCTCAAGGCAATAGCACCCGCATATTACAGGAGAAATTCCCTAATGCAATAACTCCTAAACCTTTAGTGAAATCCTTGATACACCGCTTATTATTCTCTGTGAACTGGCTACATGCAACCTGCGGTGTTGCCCATACTGGTAAGTCCACTAATATGTTCCTTATATATCTGCTTACGGACGAACGGATATTTCACCTCAGAATGTCTTGATGGAAATTGATGACAACACTAACCTTGAAGATATTGAGGACCAGGAATCCCAGGATCCAAATTTGCCGATAACATCCACAATTAATAAGACTATGCCAATAATTGTCTACAAATCTAAACCTACTATGCTAGAACTCTCCGGCCTCCCTATTCTTACAGACTATGGTCAAATGCGAGTGGTCGAAGGATGCGTGAATCAAGACTGGTGGATGTCTGATCTCTATCGCGCACCGGAGGTGCTCTTACATCTACCATGGGGATTCCCAGTTGATATATGGTCAATCGGCGTCATGGTGAGTTGAGTTGAGCGCATACTCGTAGGGTATACGCAAGCAAAACATTAACTGGAGTTCTATGATACAGACCCTCGAACTTTTGGAAGGAAAAAACCTCTTCGACCCGATTGACCGTGTTCATGGCCAATATGTACTCCCATTGGCTTTAGCACAATATATCGGATATCTTGGCCCCCCCTCCACTGAGTATTATCCAGAAGAGCCCCCTTTTCTCAACCTACTTTGACGCAGAGGGTAAGTATCACTCGCCTTATTCCTCCCTATCAACGCCTATTTCTCACTGAAAGCTACCACAGGGAATTGGGTCTCTGAACCGCCAGTACCAAAAACCTCTCTCGAGGACTTTGTCACGACAATCCCACCAGGACAGGAGAAAGACCAGTTTTCGCGGTTCATACGGAAAATCTTGACTTGGGACCCGGAAGTGAGAGCCACGTCAAACGAAGTCATACCAGACGAATGGCTTATGAGGCCGGTTGAAGAGATGCTGTAGGGAGACCATCGGGTGCATTCGATGGGACTGACATCTACGGAAGTTCTATGTATTATTTGCCAACAGATTCCACGATTTCTCTCTTTGACAGCTATTGGATAATACACCGTGGCGCAACCTCCAATTTGTCAAAGGAGATAAGATGGTGGGGTTGTTCAATTGTGAAGTGGATTCAAGAAACTGGGGTTTTGTCACTGGGAATTTGAAGGGAGTGATAGATTTGAGCGAAATAGAAAAAAATGTAGTCCTGGCCTGTACCCTTAGCACGTGTGGGAACAAAAGGCAGTGATCTCAGAGCCAGTTGCTTCCCGAGATGCCTTAGCATCACCAAAATTAAGATCGTAAGGCCCCGCAGTAATAATTACTCTTCCCCCCACTCCAATGTCCGTTGGTTACACGGCACTTTCGGCGCAAAACTCATACCTCACTTCGACAATAATATAACTGGTCGCAAATCTTACCTAGGTATCTCCCAACTTTAGGATTATCTACCTTGATCTACGCGCTAATCTGTCACAGCCCATCATGTGCCCCGCAGACCAAACCGTCGCAAAGTCCGACAACAATGACCACTTGGTCCAGTCGGACGACCCCGAACACCCGGCCAACCTCATCCCCGAGCTCTGCCGCAAATTCTACAACCTGGGATGGGTTACCGGCACTGGAGGTGGTGTAAGCTTATACTTGCAAGGGAAAAAAAAATTGCAACGGTGCCCCGCTGATAGAACAGTAGACCTCGATCCGCCAAGGTGACCACATCTTCATCGCCCCGTCTGGAGTTCAGAAGGAATTGATGCAGCCTCAAAACATCTTCGTGCTCCAATGGCCCACCCCCAAATACCCTGCCTCGGACCGTAGCTACATCCGCAAGCCGCTCAAGCTCAACCCCTCCGCCTGTACCCCACTATTCCTGACTGCATTTGAGCAGGGTGCTGGCTGCTGCATCCACACTCACTCACAATGGGCGGTTCTAGTCACCCTGTTGGTGGAGCGAGAGAAGGGCCCTGACGCTTGCTTCGAGATCAGCAACATCGAGCAGATCAAGGGTATCCCCCGCGGTAAAGGAAAGGGCATGCTTGGGTTCTTCGATACTTTGCAGATTCCCATTATTGAAAACACCGCCTTCGAAGAAGACCTCACCAGCGGTTTGGAGGCAGCTATGAATAAGTACCCAGATGCGTATGCGGTGCTTGTCCGGAGGCATGGAATGTAAGTGATAGCAACTCCACTTCATGTGATACTAGTATGTATACTAACACTGGTTTCTGCTGCAGTTATGTCTGGGGTGATACCACTGCTAAGGCGAAGACCCAGTGTGAGAGTCTGGATTACATCTTCCAGCTGGCTGTGGAAATGCACAAGCTGGGACTCCCGTGGGTCAAATAGATATCGCGCGGTTTTTAATGACCTATATTATGCCGATAGTGATTTGGCCTGGGAAAAATTGAGGATATATTACCCCGACATTAAAAAACTTCAATTGCAATGATGTGACGTATAGCGACATGGGACAATATAAAACAAGCTAGTCAGGGGCTATGTAGACATTATTAGGTACTAAGTGGCATAAAGTAGACTGGATTCGTCATAATCCTAAGCAAATACTTTTCAGCACATCAAAAAGCAGTCCCAATGGCAAAATAGTTGAACAAGTTGAGATGATGTAGTTACCACATGGCCAGGACGGATCCCGTGAGTGACTAAGGATGCGGATCGGCCAGGTCCACTCCAACCAGCTCCCTCTCCAACTCCATACTTCACCCTCTAAGCTCCGATTGAGCCAACATTAATATTAATTTGTTGGTTCATACTCTCGCCATTATTTCCTTTTCGTCGCTTCGATCTCATACCGGTAACAATGGATCTCGACTCTGGAGATTCCCCGTGGGGCGGTAGGCAGTCATGATACCACAGCTCTTTGAATCGCAGTCTGATTTATGATGTAGATGAGCCTTCACAGTTCCAGCCCAGCGATGGCACCTCCAAACCTGACACTCAGGGAGGTATGTTTTATTTGGCTTGGGCACTTTTCCCATGACCCCTCACTAAGCGCACTCTACCATACAGCAGCCGCACAACCCCCCGCGTCAGACAGCTCGCCCGCTGTCCGTGTACCAGGAAGAAGAGGCCCCCGAGGAACACGCAAGATCAACGCACAAGCCACTAAGCTCGAATCCGTCGATGATTCCGTCGACCCCCTCGGTCCATTGGGAGAAACACCCGCTGAGCCCACCCCAACACCCGCAGATGAGGCACCGGCACCGCCCCAGAAGGAGCCATTCGCCGGACGCAGTGCGCGACCACTCTCTTCTCCCTCCCAGGTATCCGACGGAGCGGGAGCAGCGGATTTGGCCAGTGTGGAAGAGGAGAGCGCGGTTTTCCGAGGACCGCCTCCCGTGCAACCGCCGGTACAAGCCGATGGGCCGAAAAGACAGACGCAGCCCAGTATGAGCGTGGAGCAGGCTGCAAAGCCGTCTTTCCAGATTTATGTTGGAGATCCCCACAAAGTGGGAGACTTGACAAGCAGTCATATTGTTTATCAAGTCTCGACGAAGGTAATTAAACCACATAAAGCCTACGCTTTGGAAAAGAAGAAGCTGACAGTAATTGGTATGGCTAGACAACATCTAAGGCGTATCGCCAACCCGAGTTCACTGTTAGCCGTCGATACCGTGATTTCCTTTGGCTCTACAACTCCCTGCACGCTAATAACCCCGGAGTGGTTGTTGCGCCTCCACCCGAGAAGCAAGCAGTTGGCCGGTTCGATACCAACTTTGTAGAATCGCGGAGAGCTGCTTTGGAACGAATGCTTAACAAGATTGCCGGCCATCCCATTCTTCAACATGATGGCGATCTGAAAATCTTCTTGGAAAGTGAAGCTTTCACTGTTGATGTTAAGAATAAGGAAAACCGAGAGCCCGATATTGGCCCCAGCAAGGGAATGCTGAGCTCCCTTGGTATTTCCGTTGGTGGAGGAAGCAAGTTTGTGGAACACGACGATGTAAGTGAATCGGTTCTGATACATTGGTCTCACCTGCTCACATGTAGATAGTGGTTCCACGACCGAAAAGTTTACTTGGATGCACTGGAGAACCAGCTAAAGGCTCTATTGAAATCGATGGACACTGTGGTTATACAACGAAAGGGACTGGCCGAGGCCGCAGGCGACTTTTCGAGCTCATTGCACGCCTTATCTGCTGTCGAGCTGTCCCCCGCCCTCTCCTATCCATTGGAAGGCTTGTCAGAACTTCAATTGCGCATTCGGGAACTTTATGACCGACAGGCGCAGCAGGATATTCTGACGCTTGGAATCACGATCGATGAATATATCCGTTTAATTGGAAGTGTCAAGATGGCTTTCACGCAGCGGCAAAAGGCCTTCCACACCTGGCGTGCAGCAGAGTCCGACCTACAGAAGCGCAGGAATACCCATGACAAGCTACTTCGCCAGGGCAAGACTCAACAAGACCGCTTGAACCAAGCCAACGCCGACGTTGCAGATGCAGAGCGCAAAGTCCATCAAACGCGGCTGCTCTTCGAGGATATGGGCAAACTTATGCGAAACGAGCTACAACGGTTCGAGAAGGAGAAAGTGGAGGACTTCAAGTCTGGCGTGGAAACATTCCTTGAAAGTGCAGTTGAAGCTCAGAAAGAGGTAAGTTCTTGCCAAGTCTTGCAGGTATTTCCCATCCAGCTGACTCCAAATACAGTTGATCGAGCTCTGGGAGACATTCCTCCTGCGTCTAGACGCTGGCGAGGAAGGGCTTCCGTATTATGTACCTCCTGAGGGGGGCGATTCATCTGCTCCAGCAGCGCCCACAGCGTCAGGCCCAGAATCGGGGCCACCGGCGACTGAGGATGCTTGATTTACCTCCTGACCTGGATGCTTTTTCACAACCCCGAAACTAGCACCATTCTATCTCGTCTTGGTTTGTATTCATTATGGGACAACCCTTTCGCGATGTTTGTTTATGCCATGTTGCAACTGACGATTATCCTCAGCAAGCTGATAAGCTTTGTGTTTTTATTCTATTTCCGCTTCATTCCGAATACCACTGTTCGCGTACTGTAGCAAATAAATTCGTTATCTGCCCTATTCAGTTATACTGTCCCGAATACATACTCCTTCCCCTAGACCGATGTCTGTCACAGACCACTCCCGTCAAACAGCGGACCGTCCACGAGCTTGGTACTTTGCGGGCTGGATCGGATGTTTTTCCTCAGGTGAGGCGAAAGACGCTAATGCGCGGTTGGTTTTACTTTTTTTCTTAGTCTTGAGACGTCTAAAAAGAAGATCCAAAAAGACATCAGAATATTCTTACATATAACGCCCCTTAGATCATCCTTGCGGAATGAATCAATTTTATAGAGTCTTAACGCCGTCAAAGAAAGAGGCTGCTTATGCCAAATATTCTTGTTTAGCATGGATGACAGAAAAGATGAATTCTTGGTATAATACAGCAGGCTCATACCAGACATATGTATATTGTACAAGATCAAAAACACAAAAGAGAATGAAACATAAAAAGAAAAAAAGAAAATCCCAACTCCCATCCAAGCGGCACAAACCAGAGCAACCTGATTCAACCCTAGAATCCCAAACCCACTATTTCTTTCCGGTGAACTTAGGAGTCTTCTTTTCAGGCGGGGGCGGCGCCTCATTCTGTCCGAAAGCACTAATCAAATCAAGCAAGTTATCCTCCTCCTCCTGATCCGCCTTAGCCTGAGCTTTAGCATCAGCCTCCGCCTGCTTAGCAGCAGCAGGGTCCTTAGCGGCCTCTTCAGCAGCAGCCGGCGTATTAGCATCAAAGCTGCGACCGAATCTGGCACGGAAAGCCGCGAGACGACCGGCCTCATCCTCCTCGACGTTCATCAGCTTGCTGCTGGACGGGTTCCAGAGGAGGGAGTTGCGCGTGTCGCGCGTGGAGCGGTAGATCGGGGCCGGCGAGGTCGTGCGGTGCGTGAAGGTGCTGCCGTCAGAGAGGGTGATGAGCTGTGTGAAGGTGTAGGGGCGCTTGGGGCGGCGGAGGAGAGTGGCGTGTCGGCATTGGGAGCAGACAAAAGTTGTGCCGCTCGATTGCGTGGGGAGTCTTGTAGGGAGGATGGTGGTTGTTGAGTTGGTGATTGTGGCCGCGGTGCGGCGGAGGGAGGTGTGCATTGACATATTGGATGGGTTGGTTTGGCAATGCCGATGCAAATAGTAATGTGGATTGTTTGAGGTCAGCGGGGGTTGACGGAGCCGCAATGCTATCGGGGAGGTTGCGGAGGTTGTGAAGTTGATGCTATAGCAGAGAAATTATCGCGGGTTATGTAAGCGGGTTTGTTCTTTTCGGGATTTTCATAACTTCGATGTTCGGATGACTTCATATTGCCGCATGTCTCTGTGAGTCTCTCTTTTTGTGTCTGGTGATTTAGACATGAATTGGCAGAGTCTGGATATCTGTGATTTTGTGCCCTGCGTGATCCCTTGAGTGCCTTTCAAAGCTCCATCAACTCCAGGCCGGCGGGATGAAGCTCGCCTTTCCAGTCGCGCATGGGAGTGCTCGGATAGGACTCGGAGGTAGGTTGTCGTGATGTATTTCTGAGTGCTTCTGTCAATTATGCTAATGCGAATCATTAGAACTATTATGCATTAATAACTATACACCTCGGTTCCTGGGAACATCTCTTTCCGTCGGCACTTCTCCGCCTGTACCATACACCCAATACCGATCACGATGCGGTCAACGACGATACACCAGCAATGTTACAGCCCCTTTTAAAGAAAATGAATGCATAGGGAAGGTCAACCCATCCCATGCAGGCAACGCACCACAACCATCAACACCCTTAATATCTATATCCGACCAAGTCCGGCTCCTCATGCGTCGAGCTCCGTACCCTGTCGCAATCATAACAGCAACCGATCCCTCCGGCCCAGAAAACACAACCTCTTTCCGTGGCATGACCGTCTCCTCCTTTAATACCGTAACTCTCACACCGCACCCTGTGATATCTTTCAACGTGCGCCGCCCATCGGAAACATTGAATGCGTTGCTTGCTTCGCGCCGCTTCTTGGTTCATTTACTTGCACCGAGCCCGTCGACTGCTACTCTGGCTAGGGATTTCTCTAAGGGGAATATCACTCTCGCTGCCATGTTGAGCGGACATGGAGAGTTTGAGTTCGCGGCTTTGCCTACTGAGAATGAGGATGGACATCCTCAAAGACCGCTTCCTATTCTTAAGCGGAGGGCGGAAGCAGTAGCTGCGAATGATGGTGTCGACTTTCCTTTTGTTTTTGAATGTACCCTACATCCGCAGAAGATTGATGTGCATGATCACTCAATTGTGCTGGGTACTGTTGTTCGGACGATCGAGGGTCCTGGGTCTGTTTCGGCACAGGGAGAGGATGGCAAGATCTTGGATGAACATTCGCCTGAGCGGCTTTGCTTAGCGTATGCAAATACCAAGTTTTGGAAGATGGGGGGTGAAATTTGATTTGGGACGGTTGTCTGGTATGTCTTATTTCACCTGAGCCATCGATGAAGAATGCTTCATCGCTTATGCCTTCAGGCAAAACACTGTATATATACTTGGGAACACGGCGTTTAGGCTGTATATAGACTTGTAACTATGTAAACATATGGTATCGCAGTCAATTTCAACGACTTATCAACTATATACTCCTACAGTAGATATGGAAGGATGAACATGAGAAATGTGTTCATGATATTGATGCGTCTACGCTTTTTGTGAGAGAGTATACAAGAACCAAGTATAGAACACTTTTTGTTTTTCGGTGTTAGGAACAGAGCTGCCATGTATCTCACTTCGATCGAATCCATACAGCTGCTATCTCATCGCGAGATGCATGCCACACTACCACGATGACTTAAGAAACCAAGAGTCATCATAGTACAGGCCGATGAGAAAGATATTGACTAGCACATGGTGGGGAATCCAACCGTACGGCACCAAAAGCACGGACGCACAAAACTTAAAGCCACTTCCCGAAAGACAAGCATGGAATTGAGATCGAGCACCGGTTCGACAGCGCGGCTAGGCAAGAGCAACCGCCGAGAGAACTAGTCTCGCGCCGAGTGCGGACTACCGGTCCCACTGCCACTGCCACCACTACCACTACCAGTGCCGCTACCTCGACTTACTGCTCGCTGGAAAGGGCTCAAAACCGGACGGCCACCTTGATGCAGGAAATTACTTCCATCGGATCCATGGCGAGACTTAGTCTCACCAAGCAATTCGGACAGGTCAAGCTGGAGTGGCAAGCGGTTCGCATCCAAGAAGTCAGAGCCGTATTGGCTGCTGCGAGCGGAGCGGTTGGAGAACGAACGGTCTCGATTGTTGATAGTTGACCCGAAGTATGAGTCCACGTGGTCGATGGGAGAGGGTGGGAACTGTGGGAGGAAGGGAAGGTCTTGCGATGGACTAGTTGGGTTTGACGGCATTTCGTGGACTGGAGAAGACGAAATATGTAGTGGACTAGACCTCGTAGGAGGAAAGCCAAGACTCCCCAATAGAGATCGAGCGCTAGATGCAGAGGTCGTAGATGCGTTGAACGCCGGAGCACTGGTCTCAGGCATAGGATTGGTGCCTGGCAAGTTGCCTTCGGGAGTGAGAGGGCCAGATTCAAGGAGCATCTGCTGCTGTTGTTGTTGGATGGACTGCTCAATTGCAGATGCTTGCTGCCAGAGTTGACTCGTGCGCAGCTGGAAATCTTGCACAGATTGGCTGATGCTTGCGAATTGCTCATGGAAATTGAGTTCCATCTTTGACTGGTCCTGCTCTCTGGCAAATTGTTCGGCAGCCCGGCGTTCTCTCTCATTCAACCCTTGTGCATTGGCCGAGATGATGCGCTCATACTGCTCGTTCACCCGGGTGCGACGACCCTGGAGACGCTCTCGCTTCTGGATAGCCTGAGTCAATTCTAACTCCAGTGCCGCAACCTGCTGAGCTGCGGCTGCCCGAGCAGCAGTAACCTCTTCTTTAGTCGCGTTGAAAGCTTCCACCTCACGTTCGAAATCTGCCTTGTGCGCTGACCACTCTTCCATTTCTTCCTCAGGAACAGCTTCCATGCTATCAAGTTGTACCTCTAGCACCGCAGTAGCCTCTTCAGTTTGTCGGATGTTTCGTTCTAGTTGAAGCGAACGCTGCTTTTGGCGATTCTCGTCATTTCCGCTGTGAAGGCGAGCATTGAAGTTCTCGAGTTCTTTCCGGATTTTTGAGATAATAGCTTTGTGGTCGTTCTTCGTCTTTTTCAGACGGTTGCGCTTTTCATTCAACTTGGATTCCGCATTGCTGATAGAGTTCTTGAGCGTCGTTGTGGGCGATGATGGACGGTAGGTCGGCTGTGGGGGTATCGATACCGTGGAAATAACTATTCAAGTAATGAGTGTATGAAAAAAAAAAAAAAAAAGTTTATCCAATGTGGGCTTACCTTGCTCTGTGTCAGTCGTCGAAGGTGTCTTGACACTCATAACACAGATTTCCTCGTCGGTATCGCTTCGTACAAATGCACATGTGTAGGCGCAGTTGGGAGCAAGTCCAGCGATCTCGCCCCGCCATTGGACAACGCTTGGCCCCTTGGCATCTGAGACCCTGCATATCGAAGCGGTAGCCCAGAGTGCACCATTGACGCAGACATAGAACGGTTCCATGTCTCCTCCCAAACGGCCGGCTTCAAAGGAACCCGACACAGCGGGGTCATCGGTAAATTCACCCGCGGCAAATTTAATCGAAGAGCTATCTATATCCGTAATCCATATTAACCCGTCGTCGAGAGAAACACCCTGCAGATCCTCCTCCGTCATTGTGATATTGCGGGCTGTTTTGGAGATAGCCCGCGAATGTTCATATTCCCTCATAACTGTGACCTTTGTACTGGCAAGCGCAGCCCAGAACGGCTGCCGGCTTCGAACCTGATTTGCTTGCCGTCTGCGTTTCTTGGCTGATGTGAAACGATCCTTTCCATCTTTCAACTGACCGTCAGGTCCCACGAAAGAAGATGAAACACTGGCAGCTGATTCCAGAGCAGAATCAGCTTGTCCTTGTGACCCCGCGGAAGCCTCCGTATCTCCCCGCTTGCCGGTCCGTAATGGTGTCGGCGACCGATTCTTGGCCATCGAACGTCGTGCCATGGCGGTTCCAGCTTGTGCTAGGATGTGAACTGCAAGGAGGCTGCGAAGCCAGCTCGGAGAAGTTTGTTCTTCGGAGTGTCGGAATTCGGCGGGTAGTAGGTGCGAATATTGGGAGAGGATATCGGGACTGAGCAGTTTAGCAGAGACAAGATGACCCAGGACAAAATCCTGGATGCCTTTGCTGCGAACAAGATGAAGAAGCAGAACAATTCCCACACAGAGAGCATTGACCCCGCCGTTCTTCCCGGAACCCCCGCCACCCAAGGTGATAGCGACCTGGACATGAGCGAGATCGATGGCGAAGTTTTGCGCCCAGGTCCACATGAAGAGGCCCCAAAGAAGTATGCAAAACCCGTCCATCGCGATCATCGTCCCCAGAGATGGCGTCCCAGCCGGACCTTGAAAAATATCGAAGTTCGACGACAAAGAACCGGCCGCGGCGCCACTCGGAGGCATGAAAGTCAAAGAGGCGAACAAGAACTGGACCAGAGTCAAGACCATCGGTGGAAGCTGTAACAAGAAAATCAAGATGGCGATGGTGTCGTACATAGGGCACGATTTGAGGATAGTGGATGCGAGCTGGAGCGGATTAATCGAGGCATTGGATCCGGATCGTTTCGAGTTTCCATTGCGAGAGCCATGGCCTGCGATGCCACCATTCTGGGCGACATCGCCGTTTTCCTGCGCGGATTCCATTTCTCCACCCTTGCTATGTCCATTCAGCATCCCACGCACATTGCCATCTACCTTCGCACTATCCTCTCCTTTGCCGGAAACTGTCGGAGATGTTAAGGCCGTATCGCTGGTAGACCGCACAGAGGATAGATCGAAGTGAGCGGACGCGCCCGGACCGGTAGCAGAGCCGTTGCCCGAGTTGACGTTCAGATGGCCGCTTGACTTTTGCTTAGTTACTTTCTTGCCGGGACCGACAAGGCCATTCTCCTGCCGAGTGCTCTGGTTCTTCCTAGCTGCAGCGGAGCGTGGCATGGACGAGGGAGCCCGAAACCCAGGTCCGAGTCAGCTTGGCGGGATGAAGCCAAGGACTGGGACCAGGAAAAAGGCGAAAACGGACTGAAATTGGATATAGTGGGGGAAGGAAAATGGTGTAGAGTGGTGCGTAATGTAATGGAGATAGAAAAGAAAAAGGAAGAAAAAGTTTAAGGAAAGAGAAAAAAAAAGAGAGAAGGACAAGAGACGACGCTCTACGTGGAAGCGTGAAGGGGAAAAAGTGCCCAGGTGGAATTGTATGAGGTCGAAAGAAACAGAATCGGTATTGGTATTGTCATTTGGTGTCGATCATTGGTGCCTTTTGGGTAGGCGGTACTTAACTTCAATACTATCCGCCACTATCTTATTTTGTACCATGTACTTGAACGACAGGAGATTGCAAATTCAGTTAAAAAAAAAGCTCTCCTGGTAATAAATTTCCGTGCCTTTCAAAAGTTCTCTTTGTCGATCTGGAGATTCTGCACAATCCCACTCAGTAAACCCAATCCGATTGCCAAGCTTTCCCAGATGTCTTTTCTCTCTGAACATCTCTGTATCTTACGATACTTCCATGGCTTATTCTTATTGACAGGTCACGCCCCCTAGGAAGCTACAACGGCTGCAGTTGCCAAGTCATGCAACGCGGATACCTACACGTCGACCAATCCTAAACGAATCTTTCGCCTTTTCCAGACGATTTTACCATACTGAATGGTATTCGTTACCTCGGCACCATGCAGACTTTCTTCAAACGGGTTTGACTAGTGCTGATAAGGTAAAGGCTACAGAGTACAACCTACGATGTATAGATCAACGTGGAAGCCTGTTCAGATCACTGATCCCTATTTGCTATCATCCCGACTCACTACATTGATGATCGGCCGTTTCTTGACCCGTCTGCTGCGGGGTTATCCTTGCGCCAAAATTGTGATGTATGTTACGAACCAGATGGTGTGGCTAGCACTCTGGGACACTTGCTTGCATAAATGCGCCTGCAAGCATAAGCATGGACGCGCAACCCGGAGCATGGAGAGCGTCATCGAGAGGAAATATGGGGTACTGAAGCTTGTGTGTATTTAACATGTGTATCAAAGGGCTGCCCACATTCTTGCTGGGATCATCACATGCTCGGCTATCTCGTGCATCTTCGTGAAGGGCTCCGCAGCTATAATGATCCACATATTTGATACATTCTATAGATCTCCAAGGTGGTATTCGAGGATCTATTGAGATTTACCAAACTCAATATCTATTTACACTATTTATACTCCGTACTCCATATTAAGAGGGTATTTAGAAGATGCAGTTACTTCGTATAGCCTTCCAGATTCCCCTCCTATACGATACCCGGGCTTGGCAGGGTTTCGTAGATCAGCCACAAACTTAGTAAAGATCGGCCCGGCGGCCGGGCTTGGTGATGGCTTAGGTTTGGCTTTGGTGATTTTTATGCATGCGGTGAGTTCTACATTGTACCACTTATATCGTACACTCCTCGATCACTTATTTAGCACTTTGCACTTACAGGATTCCATATTTCTAGTCCATGAGTCTAGCAAATAGAGTACTTGGCTTCGAAAAAATTGCCAACATCTCCACTTTTAGCGTGTCCACTAGTCTCTTTTGGAACAGGATTTTGCTTGGGCCCGATAAACTTCGGGTTTTCTAGGTCGATCAGTTCAATTCTTGCATTGTCTCTTCTTGACCGTTTTTGTTAGAAAAGGGACCTAACAGCGTATTACCGTGCAGGTTCTTCCAGTACTACGGAGAACAATGACGGTTTTCTCGGAAGTTATCCGAGACCTACACTCAGAACCAGATGTCTTTCAACATGGAAATATTCTAAAATTAGCTAACAGTTCACCTACCATCCATGGATAACGTGGCTAATTGGTAATTTTAAAAACTCGGCGAGACCTCGGGAATGACGGAGTAATAAGAAAAGTGGCGCTGGTGATTCTAAGAACGATTTAATTGCTATTATTACTGTCAATAACTGACTTTACAACTAGGGCCATTAGCCAATAAATTTGGCTTGACTAACTAATCTAAGTGCATAACCTTGGAACTCGGGTGTTGTTCTCCATATATACGGACCTGGTATACATCAGGAACAAGGTAGTACTCCGTACTACTTGCCGATCTTGAGGGAAAAATCAACTTAGACCTCATGTCGCAATATAGTCTCTAGTATTCCCTTTGAAGTACACAATCCTTATTCTAAACTATACTATAGCATCAACAAATAGTGTCTTGGCTTATATTGTATTGATGCTGGAAGTATGTGGTCATTGTGGGTAATGACTAGTACTATAACCGCGTAGAGCCGATACCTCGGCATGGGGTAATGGATCTCGGTAATCTGTCTTGGGATATACCTAACTACATGTAGGTAGATAGCTTGTTGACATAATCGTTTATGAGACTAATTGAGGCTCATCTTCATATATTTCTAGCAGCAATTGTCAGTCTCGATAGCCACTATTAGTTCGATTCAATCTTCTTCCCCTCTAGAAGACATGGATATAAATCAAAGCAAGGTAGAAAATTCCTGAAGCCTCTCGGAATCTCTCGGAGCATAACTATAGCCTGTACACGAAAGCACCCTGCACAACACAAAAACAATGGACGCAATAGTCTCGCTTGATTGCTCCATTAACATCTGCGAATCATCCATGCTGCAATGCTTGGTGTGCTGTTATTAGTCTGATGGGACCTAGACAGGTCAACACCCCGGATGGGATCTTTGAACGCGGCATCAAACATCCGGCCGCTCAGAGAATGGGATGTTCGGGATATGATCCGCATCTCTGTTTTCCCAGAACATCCGACCAGAACATCCGCAGCTTCCCAGACCATCCGCAAGATCCGAGAGCCAGTCTGGTCATCGGAAATATGCCTTCATAGACCACCAATGCGTGCTTGGTTATCGGATACGTAACTTGACTTTGGAAGCGGATAAAAGGAGGCAGTGCACCCTTCGATTCGTGTATTCTAAAACCCTCATCGGGTCTAAAGATCACACGACGGAGCATCGCATAAACACACTGTTTAGAATTATACGTTAGAGTATTGTGGCTATCGGGGAGCAGCAGTGCCTGCCACAACAACATATATGATATTGTTTGTGGGTTTGTTAAGTTCGCCTTTGAAGTGTGTCTCCGAACTGCACCGGTTATCATTGCCAGCTAGCATGCCCTTGGTACATCTGCCTTGGGGAGGTAAGTAGTATTTTCCAGATCGGTGACTTGACTATTTCGACCGGAGCCTCCTCTGAGGCATTTGCATGACAATCAATTATAATATTATCGGGTTTGATATCTACTTAGCATACTAGGATTGACGTGGAAGCGCATTCAAATTACTGAGGTGTACAATTTGCTGATCATGCAAGTCTACAACACCTCGATAATTGGCCTTACCTCGATAATTGGCCTTAGATATCCTCGCTTGCGGTGATAGTTATTAACTTTGTGTTCTCATAAAGATCGAGAGGTGTTCCATGTATGAAAAAGACCAAGAGGTGGATGGTGAGGTCCACCTGTGGACCCGCAGGCGGGTCCCGGAATGGGTCGATTACTAAGGAATCCGGCAGCCCTCGAGGGCCTCTGGGGCCGCCCGTGAGCCTTATAGGGCTACCTCCAGAAGAACAATCAAGGTTGCATCAATCGGGTCAATTCTTACAACTACAAATATATGTAGTACTCAGGTTACAATTACTCACAACTCAATCCTCATTCTTAATAGCTGAGGGGCCAATACATAAAATGTCACAACCCAAGTGCATGTTTCTCTCGCGAGAGCCCTTGGTATGTGTCCTAGCCTGACTGTATTCTCGGCTACTTATGGAAACTCACTTTAGACTTCCGAAGAAGCCAAATGGAAAAGACTAGTCAAAACAAACTACCTCGATCCCAACGGAGTCAAGAGAGACTGGGAGTCTGCTGAGCGCCAGGTACGAATTTTGAGTTTATACACAAATCCCCCCGTAATGACCTAATCAAATCGTAGACAAGACCGACAGACTCGCCTGTTGATGGAGTTAACATTGTCGCTTTTCTGAATAAGAAGAATGGATCTGAGATCCTTCTGGAGAAGCAATACCGGCCTCCCATCGACCAAGTCGTCATAGAACTTCCTGCAGGATTGATCGATGCAGGGGAGACAATTGAGCAAACTGCAGTCCGAGAACTGAAAGAGGAGACTGGGTACATCGGTGTTGCAGATAAGACTACTGGTATCATGTACAATGGTTGGTGATCCCATTGTTCGTCTTACCGCGGGCTGAATATTAGCTGACTAAAAATACCTATCCTGGGCAGATCCTGGCTTCTGCAATGCAAATTTCCACATTGTTTACGTTCAGGTTGACATGTCTCTTCCGGAAAATCAGAATCCAAAGCCTGAGCTCGAGGATAATGAGTTTATTGAGTGTTTCACGCTTCCGGTCTCGGAGCTTTCGGCGGAGTTGCAAAGGTTGGAGAGTGAAGGGTATGCGATTGATGCTAGGGTGGGATCCATTGCGGAGGGGGTTGAGATTGCAAAGAGGCTGAAACTTTGAGTTGTTTGGTCAGTGGCGCGTGAAAAGCTGATTTACCATCTTGCCCATAGTCGTCGGTTCATTGCCGTTGCTGCTATTAACAATATGAACATGATCATCTCCTCGTCTGAGCTTCATCAACAACCCGGCAGACCTGAGACTTGGAATGCGTATGTACAAAGTGCAGGGAGTTGCAGCTCTCAATCAAGTGCTCGAAAAAATGACAAGGAAACATAGTCCTCCGCAGCCCTATATGATCCGTTCTTCAATGTGTCTGTCCAGTTGTAATCATTGTGGCGCAGATCCGTTGTCCTCCACAGCATCGACCCGATCCCAGCTCTCAAGCTCAAGATTCCGGACCCGATTTTCGATCTCAGCAATACGCTGCGTCCATTTCTCCTTTTCCTGCTCCTGCTGCTTCCAGATAGTCTTAAACTGCTCCAAGGCAAAAGGCGGGATATTGATAGTCTTGCGGTTCTTTTTGTAATCATAGATGACAATATCCTCCAAGCAACGAGCAGCAGGGCGTTGGCGGGCTTCAGACAAGATCATGACTTCGAGTTGGAATGCCGACTGGGATGAAAGATACTCAGATGGGTCTGGGATCAGCTTGTGGTAGACGGTAATTTTGTCTGGAGATTCCATGGGCTGTGTGATAGTGAGTAAGTAAATAGGCTCAGTTCCCAACGCTGTGGGTTTCGGGTTTGGAGAATACAGTACAAATTTGTAGTCCACCTTGATACTCTTCAGAATGAGCCCTATCCCCGTACTACCAAGCATGTCTAACCATTCTTTCCTATTTGCAATATCGATATGGTTACCGATATTGCGCGTCCAGTTCACTCGAGCTGTTTCGGCGTATCGAACATAGGTAACGTTATTGACGTGACCTTAGTGGACTGGTTAGTACGGTATGATCTATGAGTTGGCGAGGAGCATATTCAATGTCAAGGGATGGAGCGTACCCTATTATTCGGGTTAGCTTTGGCCCATAAATCGAAGACAGCCATGCAGTGAGTGCAATAATTAGGAGGCACGAATGTTCTTACCATAATATCCTAATCGACCACAAGCCGATCTAGCGTTAATGACTCTCATCCACAACCTAGAACAGGCGATATAGTCCAAACTCATACCTGTTCTCCCCAGACCACATTATGGCGAAACAGACCTCGCCGTTTCTTATCTGTGAGGAATCCCTCACTTCCAGCGATGATTTCTCGCCATTCCTTGGCCAATTGCTGTAGAATCTTTCCTCCCTCGTCAATCTGAGGTGGTTTCAGCCCAAACATCATGCACTTCCCAATCCTTCGCTTTGTCATTGTGAGCCATCGTGGATTGATCGGGGTTGAGGCTAAATCGGTGATGTTTTGGCTGTTAAAGGTTGGCGAAGTTCCAGAGAAGGGACGACGTGCACCAATTAAGTACCGAGAGGTCGAGGCAGACAGCTGCACTCGAAAAGCCGATTGAGGGAGCATGTTACGTGGTTGGGTTGTAAAGAGACAGATCTAATGTCGCAATCTGGACAGCTCTCCGATGACCGATAACCGCCGATAGCCGATAAACAGAAGAAGCTTGGGCCAGTCCGCGGACTATACCGAGGTGAGGTCGGCTAGAACCCCGCGTGGCTATTATGGGGTTGAACATGACCCTGTATGGACATTATTATTGTATATAGCTTTCCTATATACTAAGTTGTGACTTGTTTTGATATGCAAAATAGCATATCAAAATTGCTCTAAAAGTAGGAGCATATAGAAAATCCGTGGACATGTCACGGACATGGAGTAAATCCGCTAGGCACGTCACCGATAACATCCGAAGCCTGGAAACTTCTCAGCCGCTACCTTCATTACACCGCATCCCTACCACGACCAACTCTCTATAGAACAATAATCGTTCTTGGATGTAGCAACGATGGTAAATCCTGAGCTGCGCCGGCAGGTCATTAACGTCTACAAAGGTATGAAGTCGTACTTGTGATACAATAACTTGCACTATTTTTCCTTTCAGTCTTCAGCTGGCCATTTGCTCCATGCTAATAACCCGAGATGTAGAGCTTCTGTTCTTAGGAAGGGAATATCCTCTGGGCTATCAATATTTCCGAGATCGGCTACACCGTGCGTTTGCAAGTCAGACCCAGATTACCGACGAGGAACAGATCCGCAAGGGAATAGCGAGGGCTGAGTTTGTAAAGAAAGGTGAGTGCTGTGGTTTTTATGGGGATTCTTGCCCCTATAATTAGTTGCAGTTGAGGATATATTGCTAATTTTTTAATACAGAAGTGGAAGCATTGTAAGACCAGCCCCTACATCCCTTTCTTTCCTCCCTACTTTCTACATCGCATGGTCACATCCGACCATCTTCCTCGTTTCACTGCCTATATTGCTTGATTACAACCATTTGGGCACACGGTGAAATCATTCGTTACATGTCATTTTTTTTTCTATACATTGCACCCATAATGGGATAGTGTCTGGCTAGATACACTGTGCAAAGATTCACTCCTCATTATCATGACATCATGCAAGCACCATTTTGACCACCATCACAAGACATTTGCGTTGATGGGAACTGACAGGATAAAAAACACCCAGGTACTATTTGAAGCGGTACCGAACGCTGAAAAAGCGATATGGAAGTGAGGCCTAATTTTTCCAGGGCTCTCACCTCTTCTCCAGAAATGTTCAGATCATATGCATGTTAGAAACCCAGAAAGACAGAACATTGAAATAAAATCGGGGGTATCACCAATATAAAGTGCAGAATGGTCACAACTTGGCTTTCGCCCGGAACTCCAAATTGATTCAAGGGGTTCATTTTTTTTGACCCCACCAGGCGCTCACTTCAAGGCACTCGCCGCTGCAGAGTCCACCTTTTTGCAGGAGATCGGCTGTCATTGCAGCCCACCATCGGTCCCATTCGTCACGGCCCTTTCCGCTAGACTCCATCAATATCGGCTCTAGCCCTTCAATCATCTGGATTGTGGTGAGAAGAGCCGTTCGCCGGATGGAGATCTGCTCTGGAGTTAGGGCCTTTCGTGGACGGTTATTTGAATCCTTGCCTTGGCCGTCTCGCTCCCAGCGCAAGTCACCCAGTGGGATTGCGACGCGGCGACTGTCGACATTTTCCAATAAGTCCACTTCAGAGTTAAAGGATAGACCGATGGTCGCACACGGAAGCGCTGTCAACTTGAGACGGTCGAACGACTTCTCTATCCAGGAGTTATAATCAACCACAAACTTGTTTTGTGCTCGTGTGAATGGGGTGGCAGAGGAGAATGTATAAGTAGCCGTTGCATCGGCAATCTCCTGTTCCTTCGAGGAGGTCTTTCGGGCCGGGGCCGGATTGGGCAGGAGCGAGCGGAAACTCCAATCTGAATCCCACACCTCTAGGATTCCTCCGGACTTCAGCACCCGCAGGGGCTCGCTTAAACCCGATGCAGATTGCGCCGGACTGGACGGACACATGCCAGCATCTTTGATAAACACGAAATCAAAATAGCCGTCCGGGAAGGGCAGACGGGGTCGGCGTAAATCATGACGTTTGAATTGCCAATTCATTCCCTGCTTCCGCATATCTGGTGCAATAGAGATAACATCTATACCTGCAAAAGCCACATCGGGATGGCCTCTGCGGGCGAAATATTCATGGCACAGACCGGACCACAGACCGGACCCGCATGCGATCTCCAGGACGCGTTTGGGTGGCCGACTGGCTAAGTGGGGGTTGCAAAATGGGCCGCCGAGGACGCGGAGCAGCATCAGCGTGCGCAGGCTTTGGCGGTGGATCTCGGGTAGGTCACAGGGCAGAGGGTAGACGTTTTCCGGGTCGCGAAAGTAGGTGCGGTCACCCTGCCGCACCAAAGGGTATGTTGAGTAATCCGTGAGTGAACTCAAAGACGAGGAGGAGGTTGCGGCCAGCGTCGAACTCAGGTTAGAGTGTAGGTCGGACCCGGAGGCGGTTGCGGCTGAGAACCCCAGAGCCATCATGTCCATATCACTTCCAAGGTTTCCTCAAGTATCTCGATTGGTGTCCCCTATGACTCTGATGATGGGTCGTGGGTTCGGTCGCATTCTCGGCGCAAAACTGAATTTTTCATGAACGAGGCATGCTTTTTTTTGGGCTTGCAAGGTTTTCTTTTCAAGTGGAAGATATTTCCGAGGGAAATAGGAATTAAAATCGAGTTTTTTGGGGGAAGAAATAAGAGTTGAACAGGAAAGGTGAGACCAAAGCGGGCTCGGAAATTATCCCTCTAGTGCAGCCGGGCGCAGAGCTGAAGAAATTTCTCGTTCAACGTCAAAAAAAGACTAAAATTGAAGATAGTCCTTTTGGCGTATGTAGGTCGAAGGAAATTATTCCAGAAGTTCGAGAAGAAATTGGGGGGAGAGAAAAAAGCAGGTCTAGTTGACCCCTGGATGGAGTTGAATATCCACTCGAGTCTAGTTTAGTCTCTTCACGGTAACACTCTTAACAGTACTTTGCTCCGTAGTAAAATATCAAATAATTTGTATTGCTGACCAGTAATATCTAGTATGTTTTACTAACCTATATGTGATAGATATATATATATATCCTTGGAATTCCTATTCTTATATATACTTATACTTATAGACTATATCTCCAATAACCGTTGACATCATGACTCCCATATTTAGCCATAGACAGCCATGGCTCGCCGGAAAGAGCAATGCCAAATGCGGTGGAAACCTCGGGACTATAAAATCGGGACTCTCCTATATTTTCTATACGGTACCACGGAGTATAGTATATATATGGTATAAATCAACAGTTCATGATAATACATAATGTTCAGCTCTTGGCTCTGTAGTCTAAAATCATATATCATATATGTCAACATTAAAATGCCTGATTTAGGGCAATGCCCCCTTGCTTTGCTAGATTGATAAGATACATTTAAAAGTACAATTTGTGTGTATGCCAACGGCCTCGGCAATAGACATGTATTATGCAATTCAAACGGTAAATACTAGATACACAATCCGTCGGAGATCCCTACCCGCCATGTCGATAGCGTACGGAGTGCGGAATACGGAGTTAATAAATAATTGGATCCCACGCTAAGTCTGGCCCCCCCCAACATTCTGAGACTTAGCCCGACATTTGTCTCTCTATCTGATACAGTATACGCCGTACTTGCCCCGTGCCCTACACTAAAGCCCCAGGCAATTGTCTATGGTATCGGCTATTCTATGCGATCGTCTTGATTTGCACCGTGATCCGTGCCCTTTCCGCTCTCGGTAGTAAATATTATTAGTGAACGGTACCTGCAGACCAATACGGGAATTCGATCGACACCATAGCGTCTGCCACGTACTTTTGGTTGGGACTAGTTTAGGTTTTTAAAGACACGGGAACAGAAGGCGTTGAAAAGGTAAATATGATCGGTAAGAAGATGAAGGTAACTATGAACAATAAATTGAGTGGCAATACTTCGTAGAGCATGGTGGTCACATCAAGCCGGTGGACGCATCGGTTATAAACATGCAGGCATACTAGGTCTGTGTTACATTGCAGAAGCTATACATATTACATATCATTTAAAAGATATTTCTATATTCACCACTCCGTACTCCGTACGAATTGAACAGAGTCTGCCCAGGCGGAGTTTGACTATTGAAATTATCTTGAAAAAGCTCTATTTAGACATCATTTGATAGTGATCTTTTACTCTGTACAGATACCATATTAGCATGGTGTTTTAAAGTATTCACCAATACTCACTATAGGGATAGAAATTATCTGCATTCCAAAGTTGTACTCTTTTCTTGATCATATGATCGTGAAATTTGTGGAATCGAGCATGATCAGTCCATTCGTGGCTTTTCTGTCTCAAGCAGTTCACCCCAAAGGGAAGCTCGCTGGCCTGAACTACTTTGATACATAATATTTTCCTATTATTCTCTGACACAAAGAACGAGATCGAAAAACCAGACTCAATTTTAGAGGTATTAGATATTATTAGCAGGGGCTTAGACTATATCAAGTCATTGTCCATTCTTTCAATCTTCCCGACCCAGGTCTTTTTCCGTCTTTGCGAAACCCCTTAGTTATATATCTATATTCTAGACCCAGATTCATTTTATGTACCCCCGTAGTGTTCACTAGCTTCAAACACGCTGTTAAGGCAAGATCAAAATTCAACGCAGGTTCAACTTGCCAAAGATGGTTCCGTATGTCCATGTAGTTTTGGCAGGCAAAATCAACCACGTGGCTAGTTTCTTATATAAGTAATCCCATCAATCGCAAAGTAATGCGAAAGTACGAGATATATGAAGAATATATGATCAATGCCAACCGTTTTCCTCTAAAAAATGTCAAACAGTTAAGGGACATTGACCGTGTTCTTGGCAAGTCAAGCTCATCAAAGCTGGCAAAGACTTGACCCCTGCGGCGACTCACGTGATCCCGTGACTCCCGCCTCGCTGCAAACCACCAGTGTCCATCTCAGGACGTCCTCATCGACCTGGAGACAATCGTATGGTTTGCTCATCTTTGCTACGTCAATTCTGCCCCGTTGGTTTTCTTCGACTCCCCTTCACTCGATCTTTTTTAAGTTTTCCACTCATTCCTTCTTTTGACCATCCCGCCCAATCTCCGCCCTTAGGTACCGCTCCAGTGCACACCTGAAGATACTCTCAGTGCCAAAGTCACCGGCGACCTTCAATCGTGGTTTGATACAGGTGGTTTTGTCTTAGGCCTCTATGTGGAAGAAGAGAAGAGACCGTCTCCGATCCTCTCCTCTCCTCTCCTCGACCCAAACCAACTTAGCGCCGCCCGCCAACCAACAGGTTTTCCACCAGGGAAACAAAACACGGTCTCGTCTGCCACGTTAAATGGCAGATGGTACCTACAGGTTCCAGCAGCCTGGGGCCGGGCAGTTCTACTTCCAAGCTCAAGCACAGCAGAACCCTCACCAGCGACACATCGTTCGAAACGGGACCAATTCTCCGACAGGTCGACTGAAATTCAACACCGACACCCCCTCCCCCTCTCGATCCCCTGCCCTAAACCAGGCTGCTGCTATCAGCCCTTTCAACAACATGTACGGCCAAACTCACCAAGGTCAGCATGTCATGATGAATGGCGGTCAAGCCCACCAGCGGTTTGGCATGCCGATTCCGAAGTTCCAATCGCAAACCCACCACTCTCATCACACACAGCAGCCGCACCATCACGCCCACCACACACAAGCGACCCACAACCTCACTCATCAACACAATTTCCCCAGCGGCGCACTAGCCTCTACAACAACCTCTCATTTTACCTCGACTCATTTGCAGAACGGAGTACCGAACGCCGACGATGATCTTGATGAGTCAATGAACGAGCACTGGCAGCAGCAGCTCCAGCTTGCAGCAGAATCCAGACAAGCCACTTCTCCCCACTACCATGCCCGCATCATTGCGCAACAAACGAAAGGAATCCAGCTTATGTCAAACCAAACTGACACAGAAAGTGGGACGGAGGGGCGCAATGGTGCATCCGCGGGGAAGCCAGCTAGCCGACAGGGTTGGAATGCGCTTGATTTCGGTGGCCAAGGATTGCGCGCGTTGACTACTTCGTTGTTCAACTATGGTTTCATTGAGAAGCTTTACCTCAACTCTAACAAGTTGAAGGTGTTGCCCCCGGCCATTGGACAATTGCGGAAGTTGACCCATCTGGACCTATCAGGCAATGACCTGACCGAGCTACCAGAAGAACTTGGCATGCTTTCAAACCTAAAGAAACTCCTTCTCTTCGATAACAACATTCGCACCCTTCCTTACGAAATGGGTTACCTTTACCGGTTGGAAACCCTGGGCATCGAGGGCAACCCCCTGAACGATGTCCTCAAGTCTCAGATCATGAAGGACGGTACCAAGGCTCTCATCAAGTACCTGAAAGAAGAGATGCCAGGTGTGTTTCAGCTGCTTGCTTCCCTTTGAAGCATATTTGCGCGATCTTGTTTGCTAACTTCATCATTACAGTCCACCTACCTCCTCCTGACCGTGACTGGGTGATTCTCGATGATACTTCAACCTCATCCAACAGTAATACGGAAAAGATCACCGTACTGTCGTACAACACCTTGTGTGACTCCTCTGCTACCCAATCGCATTACGGCTATGTGCCCTCACGTGTCCTGTCCTGGGAATACCGCCGTGAGCTTATTCTTAATGAATTACGATCCCATAACGCAGACATTGTCTGCCTTCAGGAAGTTGATCAGGGAAGTTATAACAATTTCTTCCGGGAGCAACTTGCATACAATGATTACAAAGGTGTCTACTGGCCGCGTGGTCGCGCCATGGGCATGCAGGAGGAAGATGCCCGGATGGTCGATGGATGTGCTACATTCTTCAAGGGAAGCAAGTACATCCTGTTGGACAAGCAATTGATCAACTTTGGTCAGACAGCCGTTCGTCGACCCGACGCCAAGGGCCAAGATGATATCTACAATCGACTGTGGCAGAAGGACCACATTGCCGTTGTGATCTTCCTAGAGAACCGGCAAACTGGTGCTCGCTTCATCAGCGTGAACGCTCATCTGTATTGGGACCCAGCCTTCAAGGATGTCAAGCTCATTCAGACTGCGATTCTAATGGAGGAGATTACTAAACTCTCGGATAACTATGCCAAATGGCCCGCTTGCACGGACAAGACCGCATTCCGCTTCTCAGAGGCCGAAAGTGGTTCAGAGTCCGCGCCCGTCGTGGAACCGGCCCCGTCAATGGAGTACACTAGTGGCGATCAGATCCCTGTTCTCATGTGCGGTGATTTCAACTCCTCACCAGGGTCCGCGGCTTACAACTTGATCTCCACTGGACGACTGCCCGAAGCCCATCCTGATCTAGAGAAGCGACTTTACGGAAACCTCAGCCGTGTTGGTATGACACATCCCTTCAAGTTGAAGTCAGCCTACTCCTCTATGGGAGAACTGAGCTTCACCAACTACACCTCCGACTTCACGGCCATTCTCGACTATGTTTGGTACTCTTCCAACACTCTCCATGTGTCAGCATTGCTCGGTGAAGTGGACAAGGATTATCTGCGCCGCGTGCCTGGATTCCCGAATTTCCATTTCCCCAGTGATCACGTCGCGTTGCTTGCGGAGTTTACGGTAAAGGGCAAGAAGGGCAAGGTGGTAGAGGCAGACTTTGGTCCCCAACGGCACTAACGACATGGAGCATATGAGATCTTCGGAGATGGGGTGTTTTTCCAACCGGTTTCTTTCGTTCTTGCTTGTTCTTTCGGAATCTTTTTGGGTGGTGGCTCTCTGGCCAGCCGTCTTATGGTGTTTCTTTACGTATTTCTTCTCTTCTGTCTCGTGCTTTTTTTTTTCTCTCTCTCCTGCTTATGAACGTCCTTCCATTTCCTCTTGCTTATCCTCCTCTGTATCCTCTTGGTTTGCTAGCGGAGTATCTATTCCTAGAACGGTGGCCTTGCCTTGTGTTCATTGGATGTAGTGAAACGGTGCGGCAGTGTCCATTTACTCTCTGGCATTCTCCCTTCCATCCAAACTCTCCCCCTCTTTGTCCTTCAGCCTCACTCTCTACATCTCCTGTGTCTTCTTCCGTTAAGTTTCCTGATTTATCTCGGTTTCATCTCACCTAATCTCTAACGTCATCTGAGACGGTTTCACGACGCTTAGGATCGGGGATTGGTGTTCGGGGGGAACAGGTGGTGAAGGGTATCTGCTTTTTGCCCGTGACGAGGTTGATTTTTGTCGTTTTTTCTCGATCAGGCGAAGGGCGTTCTGTCTGTCCCATGTACGTGTTTATTGCGCCGTGCCGTCATATGCGAGGTTCAATCGAGAATAGAGCGTGGCTTTGTTCAATTTCAGTCTTCGGTGTTCTTTTGTAGACGTAGCAAACTTCCTGGTAAACGTAGGCCAATATGTCCTTCCTATAGAGTCTTCGGCACAACGCTTCGATGCTTATCGTGACACTGTCATGTACGCATGATTGCTCCCCCGGACTGCTATGTAGTTCCTTACGTAGCTGTGTTCATGTACGACAACAGCATGCAGAGCAGGCCTCGGGATTCGGAGAGACTAATAAGCATAGCATCTGCTAATGACCGTTAGTGTAACCCGTTGGAGAGCTAATAATTCGGATGTTAGCTCCGCGTTAGTCCCCGTTACTCCTCGTGCTCTATATGAAGTGCACATGATAGTTAATGATCGCCTTATAATGTAACAATGGAAGGGTGCTTCGCAGGCCCTTCACATTATACACCTCAAGACCACGAATCTAGTGTTGTTCACTCTGTTATAAGACAATTGAAGGAGTGGAGTTATTCTATTCTATTATACATATCCTATAATACATTTAGCTTGGAATGGTCTCCAGCCATCCCAACTATGAGGCATTATAATTACACAAGTATATCTTACTTCCCTCATAAAACCCAATATAGAGTCCACTTCCCACAACCGCCGCCACGCAGGTCAAAGCAGATCCCCGAAACAACCCAGCTACCCCCTCCTTCCGTAGCACATCTCGAGCAATAGCAAATGCCCCGACACGGGGCTGTAAGCCAGGTTTCCCCTTGAGACTCGACGCGGTGCTACCTGTCTCTTCACCAACCGCAAGCCTCATCCTCGTCTTGACCACGTGGATAGGAACAAAAAACAAAGACGCACAACCCCCCGCAGCACCAGCACCTAAAATAGTCGCTTCAAGCTGCTGCCTAATATCATCTTTCTCTGTCTTCCACCGCTCAAGCAAATCCTCCTTGAACATCTCATACAAACAAAACGTAAGACACATATTCGGTAATTGACTCGCCACTAAAGCAGAATACCCAGCCCACAGCTTAGAAGGGTACTTTCGAAATTGACGAATCATCTCCATCGTCGGAGATGGGCCTTTTTCACAATGAAGTGGGCGCTGATAAACCTGAGCATTCTGCTTCAATACCTCAGCCGGGTTCTGGACAGCGCAAGCGAGTAGTTCAGCGACAGCACTGCTGGCAATGTGAATCAATGGCCGCGGGACACCAAGCATATATCCAGCGGACTGTGCATTCTCGAACGCCTTCTTTGACGCTTCGTATGCTGTGAAGAAAGCTGCTGATGAAAGCGTCCCTGCGACGAGGGTTGGCCCGAAGCCTTGGTACAACCCGCTGAAGAGGGTGCGGCTAAGTGTGCCGTTTAGGTGCTTGTAGACGCTGCTGTAGATTGGTGATTGCATGCGTGTTATTACTGTGTCCATTGGGTGGATGGCGCCTTCGCTGGCTAGCGCGGCGATTATTGCGGCCTGTTTGGGTTAGATGGATATTTTGGATAGGAGTGGGAAGGATTGACTTGCGGTTGTTACTTCTAAGCCATTGAATGAGGACATTTTGGTATGGGTCTCTATCGCAACACTACTGGAAGGAATGGATGTGACTCTTTGCTGAATGTATAACAGGATCTGACAGGCTGATATCGGGGTCCGCGGAGCCCGTACTACGTTTTGGAATTTTTCGACACCGAGCTTGCCCGATTTGTCTGGGATGAGTACATATGTATTATTTTGAATTTGATATTCTAAGTTTGATACTTCCAAATTATTGACATATATTATGTCATGGATATATTTCAAACACTATAGGTGTGAATGTTAGGTTCTTATACGGAGTAACCGGTAAATATATAATTAGACCTATGTTTCTTTACTATCAACCAAAACAAAATCACGTCCTAGTATTTCCATATAAACACCTTGACTAGCCACTCAAACCAGAGGATGGGGCCGTGGCATTAGATAACTACACAACAGAGACAAAACTGGCCTACATAAACCGTCGAGTGCTCACAAACATTCAAATGTACCAACATTTTGCCGGTAAACCAGCTCTTCTTGATTAGGTACCCCTACCTGTTTCTAGGCCCCTGCCTGGGCTTTCTGCCGTTTAATCAACCAAAGAAAAAGCAAAGAGAGACTAGCACAGATATAAGAGACACCACAGAACACTTGGGCATTTTGATATGGTTGGTTGGACCCTAGACGGCGTAATTTGAGTGCTATAACCTCAGAGACTATAATTTGATATTAGGCGAAAGTCTTCAGATTTGTATAAGGAATTCTTACATGTTGTAGGAAGCACAATAAAAGACCAAGACAAAGAGAGGAGCGACTGGAGCTGCTCCAACCCAGCGACCTCAACACATAAAGGTCCCACAGTCTATTAGGAAGTTCAGCTACCACGTAGAATCAGGATAGACTGGATCAACTTACAACCCAAAAGACCCCGAGAATAGCCCCGCTAATGAAAGCGAAGAGAATAAGTACGCCATATGATGTTGAGGGAAGCCAAATGGCAAAACAAATAACACCACAAAAGCAAGTCAAGAGGCCAGCGACCTCAATCCTGCCGAAATTGTCACTGGCAATGCCGATCAGTGGTCGACCAACAGCAGTTCCCAAGTTCAAGATTGCGTTGACAGTTGTAGCTTGGCTGTCCGAGAGTCCAATGGAGCGTGCATAATCTGGAAGTGAAAACAGCAGACAAATATAGCCAAGCATACTGAGAAAAGCCCATGATAGTAATAGAAGCACGTCTAACCGATGCAAGAGTTTCACATCGAACCCGCGCTGAGACGGCCGTATAGCTTCATTGCGATTTCGGATTAGTAAAATAGCAATCATTAGTATTGAACAACTGATAATAGCTGTCAACCGCAGAGCCCAAGCAAGAGATATATTCTGAATGATTGAACCATCCATAAACGAGAAAATCAAGCCACCAATACCTGAACCGGCCGCACTGATTCCATTGGCAAGGCTTCTTTTTTTATCAAACCACTGAGAAAGAACAGGCAGGCTTGGTATATAGATAAAGCCAACGCCGAATCCAATCAAGACTCCCTGCGACAAATAGAGCTGCCAGGTCCTATGTGAAAAGGACGCAGAGACATATCCCGATGCCAAAAGCCCTAACCCGAGCAACATCGGTAACTTGGTGCCGTACTTGCGAGCGATGATTGTAACAGCAGGGGCCACCAACATCGCCATGGAGAAATTTAAACCCCCAATTAGTGCAAAGTCCATTGGAGTAGCCTCAGGGAACACGTTGTTCGAGAGATAGTGTGCCAGGTACACGCCGTATGACTGTTAGAGGACATGAGCTGAGTTGCCGCTCACACGGCTGATATAGAGACAACTCACAGAGACCGCGCCCCAGCTGAAGCAATTAATACAAAAGCACGCAGCCACGCATATCCAGCCATATCCTCCGTCCGGGAGTGGGGAAGTGTTGGAAGAAAGCGACATTGTATAGCACACAGAAGAAAATGTGGTGAACAATGTCTCTGTGTGGGAGTTTCCTTGTCAAATTTGGTATATGATGCAACTCCCAATAGCCTTTATACCCATATGAAGAGAAGCAATGAATATTCAAATAATGTTTATCTTAACTCTTATAGCTATGACTTTCAACTCGTCGAATGTGGTATGTCACTGTTTCTTGGCATCGCTATGTACACAATGATCGACAAGAACTAGAATATGACTTGCCAAAGATGACAAATATGTTAATACTAGTCCCGATGACCTTACACATAGATTCAACTTCCCAAAGTCACAGATACGGGCTGGTTGATAATTGGAATGAAGCCATGGTATTCTTACCCCACTAGTCAACAACACTAACATCATGGGGATGCCCCGCGACTACAGAATTTCCCTCTTGGGAATCTTACTACACTCCATTTCAAACTTCTCCGAGGGATGCTAGCCGGCAGAATAGAACTATTTCACCCACTTTGACTCATCATACTCATCCAGAAGCTGAGTATAATCTTTCCCAGCTGCCACCCACCCCTTAATACCGCCTTCTAGCACAAGGCTCTTCATTTCCATGTCCTTTTGCCTTTCCAGGTATTCTGCAAACCAGTTCGCAGCACGCACCCCACGACCTCGGGAAGAACCTGCTAGTTTTGTCAGCGGAGAATAATTTTGCGAAAATCAAAGCACACTGACCACAATACCACACCACATTAGCGACTCTTCCTTGCGAGAGTATAGAATATAGAGTCGGAACAGTAGGAAACAAGCTCTCGGCTGGGAGATTTAGAGAGCCCCGGATTGTGCCACCCTGTACATTTATTGTAAGATATGCAGATAGATGGGAGATAGAAGACCCTGTGTATGTACCTCAAAATCTGTGCGACGTAGGTCAACTAGAACAAAATCTTTCCCGATCTTCTTGCCCCCTTGAAACCACCGGAGGAGCTCGAGGCGGGAAATCGGGCCTGTTATGGTGCTTTGATTAAGGTAAGCTGCATGCCAGAGAATGCACGCGGGTGACTTTACCCTGCTGGGATCATTCTTAATACTTTCGTCTGTGATCAAGGTTGACAAAGAAAACAAGATAGAGTTGATAGGCAGAATCAAGAAGAAGATATAACGGCGTGAACAAGAAAAATAATGTATATACAAGTTAGTTTACTATCGCGAAACATGTCCAGAGCCCTCAGGCTGTTCAGCACGGTAGCCAAGAGTAGTGTTATCATGTCATTGCTCGGTGTTGATTGGGCAAAGAGATTTCAGACTGTCACTCGCCTCGTGTTATTGGTCACTACTTGACTAAATGACCGAATGGTAAGCCTTAGCCAGAGAAGTCATCGAGTTGCCAGTCGAGGTAACGAAGTATGTTGAGATTATGCCATATGAATTGTCTTTCTAACACTCTCTATATTATTCTATGCATTTTGACTGGCTATAGTGGCATTCAGCTTTGCCTCCTTTATCTTCTTCTCCTCCCGTTCACTAAAACGGTCACTGAAAAGACCGATGTGAGGCCGCATCAAAATCGTATATTTCACAAACTCCTCCATGCAATCCACCAGACGATCTCGGTTGCCACTAGGCATGAGTCGTTGATCTCCCGGCTGGCCTTCATCCGGGAACTGTGTATATGCCTTGGGGATCGAAGACTGATTCGGAATCGTAAACATACGCATCCACCGACCCAGGATGCGCAAAGAGTTGACCGCATTGAACGATTGAGATCCACCGCACACCTGGGCAATGGCTAGCGTTCGGCCTTGGGTGGGACGAACACTTCCAGTACTCAACGGAATCCAATCGATCTGATTCTTGAACACAGCGGTCTAAAATTGCGGAAAAGCATGTAAGTATTGCATCAATGGCTAAGTTAATCGCGGGAGAGCACTCACCAGATTGCCGTGCTGTTCAGGTGAAACCCAGACATGTCCATCACTCCATACACTGAGCTCTCGAAGCTCCTGTACTTTAGGATGGGCTGTATCACTCTCGTTCTTCATAGGAAGTCCTTCGGGATCAAAGACGCGTACGTCACAGCCGAGGCGGAAAAGGATACGGGACGCTTCGAATGCCACCAGTCGGGAATATGACCTTTTCCGAAGACTCCCATAGAGTACCAGAACCTTCAACCTCTGGTTTGTAGCCCGCAAGTTCTGTTCTGCCATGTCCGCTGCGGTCGCCAAATCTAAATTGTTGACCCAGTCCTCATTTGAATTGTCATCAAGGATAAATGAACGATACTTCTGGCGGATATCTGGGCTATCTTCACTCTGGGATAATGCCAGAGATCGATATGAAACATCGGGTTGGGTGTTTGTAGCCACTGGAGGAACGGCGGAGAACATCCTTGCTGAGTATTTGGGGCACAGCATAGATCGTAAGATTGCTGGCCTAAGTGTCGAGGGCACTCTTTGTATAAGGTAATATAGCATAGATTTCAAGGTTGAAACATAACAAAGAACAATACAATTAGATATTGACAGTGATTTTGGCATAATATAGTAGCCCTCAGGAAGGTATGTCACTGACGAAACATGATTGGACAAAACAGATGCAGTTTATAACCAATAAAATTTAGCAAGTGGGCCTAGTATGAAGACCCATGGATTCATGGAGGCTCTTGCCCTCTTGTCCACGTGAATTGGGGCTTCGGGACCTTCCCGAGGTAAGGTTGGGCTACGTCCATGTAGGTATTTTGTACTATCTCTTGTGATCTTAGGCAAGGTGCGATCATGGACTTAGTACATATAGAAATGAATCAAAAGAAGCAAGGGATGTCGCAGTCAAGGTTACTTGCAAATCTTGCTAGAGCGACAAGGCGCAGAGTTTATCCAAGATGGCCTCCAGAAGGTGGAATTTGCTTGTTCCTGAGATTGCAACAATTCTATCTTATAGTTACATGTTGATTTCATAATAATTGTGCTAGAATATAGATTTGTATAAATTGGTTTAAACATAAATTTTGGCGCGGGTGGATCTGCGTCACGTTAATATCCTGTCTTGACATTCCTGCCGAGGTCCCGAGAGGTCATGCTAAAAGGTGCACTTCGTCTCTTCTCTAACCACACCTCAACCCTTTGTACAAACTCAAACAGCAGAAATGAACACAGAAGAAAGTGTACACATTCTCCCAGACGGCCTTGAGGTGTATACCAAGACATGGAAGGTATGTCTGAATTTACAACGATTTTGAATAACCTTAAGATAAGAGTATCACTGATCTCCAACGCTAACACTGCGCTCTACTTTATAGACCAGCGAGCCCCCAGTTGCCGTTGTAGCCTTTATCCATGGCTTCAGTGACCACTGTGAGTCTATCATGTCTATTATGAGCAATATACCAAGATAGCTCATCGCCCACAAGACAAACTACTGACACAAATCCATTCTAGGCAATGCCTATAACGATCTGTTTCCAACACTGGCATCGGCAGGTATTGAAGTCAGGTCTTTTGATCAGCGGTAAGTCTTAAACTAGCAAGGTCATACCTTTTCCTGATACCTCGATATATATACCCATCTCAATAGAGCCCGCTAACTAATACCCTAAATAGAGGATGGGGCCGCAGCGTCAAGAGTACCAGCGACCGCGGCGATACAGGCCCAACATCTCAAGTCCTCTCAGACATCCACTCCTTCCTACAAAGCCTACCCTCCCGTCCTGATGTACCCCTATTCCTAATGGGTCACAGCATGGGCGGCGGCCAAGTTCTCAACTACATTTTCCACCCAGAGTCACCCTACAACGGAGACAATTCCAACCGGCCCAAATTCGCTGGTGTGCTTTTGTACTCCCCTCTAGTCGCTATAGATCCATCCTCCCGCCCCTCAAAGCTGTTAATCGCAGCGGGGCGACTTGTCGCAAAGCTGATCCCCCATAAGCAGCGGTTCTCCCCGCTTGATCCAGATTTGCTGTCTCGTAACAAGGAGACAGTCAAAGAGTGCGTAGCTGATGAGCTGTGCCATGACACGGCGACATTTGGGGGGCTGGCAGGCATGCTGGATCGGGGTATATGGTTGGAGAAGATGTTTACGGCTGGGAATGGAGGTTGGGTGAAGACTGAGCTGCCAATTTGGTTTGCGCATGGGGATGCAGATCTCATTACTAATTATTCTGCGACGAAAACCCTTGCTGATGGGTTGACGAAGAAGGGTGGCGATGTAAAGTTTTGTACTTATGAGGGGGCTTATCATAAGTTGCATGCTGAGTTGCCTGAGACGACGGAGAAGTTCTTTGCAGATGTGAAGGCATTTATTTTGGGTAAAGTGCCCAAGACGGAAGAGGTGGTTGTTCAAGATGAGGCAGAGGGTGTTCAGGACGAAGGTGGCATAGCCACTACCGCTCATGAGGATGCGGAAACCGAGGGTAAAGCAAAGCTGTGAGATGATTGCTTCCTGTTATAACACCTTTTCGGATATATTGTTAATATTATTCTCACAATTCTCTATATGGTACAAATGGCTTCAGTCTGTATCAGACATGCAATAGAATACAGGTATATAGTACAAGATATATATGCTGGGCACAGCTAGACCGAAAACTTAACGGTCTTCGATCCGTCGCCAGACTGCCACGAAGCCGCCGCCCTGGATACGCACTCCGACCTTGGGCCGGCAGACCAAGACAGACTCCCCTTCCTTGGGAGGCTCCTCTGTGGTGGACACCTCAGAGGCAGTATCAGAGGCGGCAGACTGCTCGTCGACCTCAGCAGGAGTGACACTTTCAGTGTCTGAAGGGGCAGCCCAGGATGCTGGGTCGGCGCCGGACTTCTTAGTCGCAAAACGTACATCCCATGTGCGACCACCGCTGATTCCAGAGCCAAGTTCGATCACCTTCTCCTGAACGAGGGGCAGTCGCTGGTCCCGGATCAGTTGCAGACACTCGCCAATCTGTGTGATACTAGGCATGAACACCACCAGGAGGCCATCACGCTTCAACATCGGGGTAACATGCGGAATCCTCAAATTCGAGGAAGGCATGTCCAGAATAACGTGCGAAAGGAACGGTTCAACAGGATTTCCCCCGGTCAGTGAAGCTAGGCCGGTCTTTTTCCGCTGCTGCTTCTGCTGGGCAATCCAGTTTTCGACGGGGCCCACATAGAAGTCAACATTGCCTGCGTAGATTCCACGGCGGAACCCTCGGACGTTTTTCTCGGCCAGCACAGAGAACTTCGGCGATACGTCGACTGTGTGAATGATGGCGTTGCGCTGCGCTCGCCACGCATCCCATTCCTCCTGTGCTGGATCCGCAATTGGCTCGGCGGGTTTCTCTTCTGTTTGTTCTGTGTCCTTCTCACTTGGCCTGATAACGCGGCCTTCTAGGTATTTGATCTGGGATCGCAATGGACGAGGCGGGGGTGTGGTATTGGCGGCGTGAATGGCACGCGCCAGGTGTAGTGTCAAGGATCCATGGCCTGTTCCGGACTCGAGGATTTCCATAGTGGGTTGTATTTCGCCCGCGGCAGGAGTGTTGACGTGAATGTCAAGAAGGGAAGCAATTAGATTGGCATCTTGTGGATAAATCTACTGACATAGCATAAGTCTAATGTATCTCCGTGTCTGATCCGTAGGAGTGATGTGCATACCGGCGTGACCAACCGAGGGGTCAGGGCGACGTATTCTTCTAATGTGGGGAGGCTGACTCGGAGACTCAGGCCTATATATACGGAAGTATCAGTGTTATGTCCAGGAAATACCGAGAAGTGGATGTTATTGACCTTTGCGAGACTGCACCGTGTCCCAGACCCGTTTCCCAATGATGCTATCATGTTCCACTGCCCCACGAGGAGTCTGGAGTTTTTCACCTCGCTTCAATGATTTCGACAATGAGGGCTGTTTGCCGTGTAAAATGACTCGGTCTCCCTCTGCGCATTTTGTTAGCCCGCTGCTAGGAAGAGCTGTTGTAACTCAATTACCTTTTATGATGGAGAAATTGGTGTCAATGGTCCGAGAGCGCAAGGCACCTGGAGCTGGAGCCACACCAAGCACGCGCTGCAGGGCCTGGCGCAGACGAGACATGATATATAACAATAGAAAGTACCTACTCCGGAGGTAGCCCTGAAGTAATCAAAAACACCAGAAAAGGAAAAAATGGCTGATCGAGACTAACCCACTGCGGTACCGCTCGACCCACCCCCGAGTTCACCGAATCGAGGGGCACATCTTTAATTTCAGGCTTGTTCTTTTCAGTCATCCTTTGGATTGTTCATATATACCTTTTTCTTCTTCTTTAGATTCATTCCTATTGCCTATCATGGGTTCCAACGCTCTCCCATACATGGAGACTAAGCCCAAGCTCATCTTCTTCACTGATTTCGATGGCACAATTACAGTCGACGATAGTAGGTGCTTCCCCACAAAGTGCAGGTCCTCGAATGCTAATTAGAATCGCAGGCAATGACTTTATGGTATATCGCATCGCTACCCTCTCCTAGATCTTCACTAATACCACCAAGATTGATACCCTTGGCTTCGGCCGGGAAAAGCGCCTCGTATTGGGCGACCGGGTCCTTAACGAGACTCTGAGCTTCCGGTGAGTGTCTAAGACACGGTATATTCCCCCAGCAAGCCCTAATGAATCGTTCGTCATTATAGGGATGCCTTCCGCGAGATGCTTGAAAGCATCAAGACCCCATACAACGAGTGCATCGAGACGCTGCTGAAGAACATGAAGCTGGATCCGTATTTCGAGGAATTCTACTACTGGGCTAAGGACAACAATGTTCCCATTGTCATCCTGTCATCTGGCATGCGACCCATTATCGGCGCCTTGTTGGAGAAATTCCTCGGCCACAAGCCAGCCAACCACCTCACCATCATTTCCAACGAGCCTGTGAGCCGGGATGGCAAGGATATTAACAGCGAGGGTGGTTGGCAAATTGAGTACCATGATGACAGGTAAGCCACTTTCAATCCGATCGTCATTCGCCCGGCCCCACTGACAATCATTCACCAGCCACTTCGGACATGACAAGTCCCTCGAGATTAAGCCTTATGCTAGCTTGCCCGACGGAGAGCGCCCGATTCTTCTATACGCCGGAGATGGTATCTCTGATTTGTCTGCGGCTGCAGAAACTGATCTTCTCTTCGCCAAGCAAGGCAAAGGTACTTATCTGCCCGAACCGCCCTGAGCCTAGATTTCTAGGACACCGAACTAACACTGTTGCAGATTTGGTGACCTACTGTCAGCGTAGGGGAGTGCCCTACACGACTTTCGAGAATTGGTCCACAATCCTCTCGACTTCCAAAGATATATTGAGTGGCAAATTGTCACCGAGTGATGTGGCTACCAAGGCTTCAGCTGGCCTGTAGAACGGATGTATAGACCTGTATAGACTTGTAACTAGACGGACATGAATGTGGATGATGGGTATTAATTTCACATTCTATATGATTTTAGACAAGGATAATGAGAATATTAGTGAAAAGAGAAAGAATGGTCAAGTCAATGAATCACCAAAATACAATCACCAAATATTGGGCAAAGGCTAGACCACCCCTTCAGGAGTCACCGCCTTCAGCGTCCAAGCGTCCGAGGGTCAACTGCGAACTTCAATCTTCCAAACAAATTATACTTGTCCTTTATACTCTAGAGTTGACCGAACCTGGTCTTCTCCTTTGCCCTATACACCCGCAATTCGTGGGCATCATGCGACAGGGCACCTCGCTTTTCTTCAAGTCCTTACCAGGGTGATATCTATTCCATCATGGCTCGCCGGCTAGTACGACATTATGTTACTCCCTGTGAAGCAGTTTTCCTAACACCTAATTTGTGTAGGTCCGAGCGAGTGTACAGCTCTGTTTATTCGCAACATTCATTCTCCTCATTATCGTTGTTCTCGATAATCGATTTAGTGTCCTTCCTTCCTCAATTCATGGCCATCTTCCGTCGCATTATTCCGGCTACGTGATCACAGATGTGACCGTCACAACATGCTCCTCCCTTAATCCGTTCTCGAGCTGTAAGCTAGACCCAGAAACCTGGTACCGCGTTGAGAAGGACCTCTACCTGCGCTCGGGCTGGACCTCAAGTGCCTACGTTCAATTCAGGCGGAAAAAGGAGGAGGAATTGGGGCCCGATGATAAGGTGGTCATCGACTTGAAAATCAGTCGTCTCACTCCCCCGTCTGAAATTGGTGGAAAGACTGAAATTGAAGCGTGGGAACCTCGACCAGGAGGCATCTGGCTCAAGCGCTCGTCCTCCCGCCATGCTAGCGACTCCGAAAACGCTGTGACGTACATCGATGTCCTTTATGGAGCGGATGCTGTTGATCCCCGTATCAACTGGGAAGTCAAAGATACTCCTATTCTCCTGGATAGTATGACGGAACAGCTGGAGACTCGCCTTAGTATTCGAAGAGGGCACCCGCAGGCCAAACCCAAGAAGCCCGTTCCCAGGATCAACGAGAACGGAAAATTCAAGGTGATGCAGTTGGCTGATCTCCACATGAGCACCGGTCTTGGCCACTGTCGTGATCCTGTGCCCGTGGAAGCGGTGGCTGGCCGGAAGTGTGAAGCCGACCCCCGAACCTTGGAATTCGTCGCACGACTTCTTGACGAAGAGAAGCCGGACATGGTGGTTCTCTCCGGTGATCAGATTAATGGCGAGACCGCCCCAGATGCACAGAGTGCTCTCTACAAAGCTGTAAAGCTTTTGGTCGATCGCAAGATTCCTTACGCAGCCATCTTTGGAAACCACGACGACGAGGGTGACCTCAACCGAGAACAACTCATGACCATATATGAAGACCTTCCTTATTCTCTTTCAGTCGCCGGCCCCGAAGACATTGATGGGGTCGGAAACTACGTTGTCGAAGTCCTCGATTGGGGCAAAAGCACACACTCTGCCCTGACCTTCTATTTCCTTGACACACATTCCTACTCCCCCGACGAGCGTCAGTTCCGTGGCTACGATTGGATCAAGCCCAGTCAAACTCGGTGGTTCAAGAATACCGCACAAAGTTTGAGAAGAAAACATCAGGAATACAACCATATCCACATGAACGTGGCATTCATCCACATTCCGCTCCCTGAGTATCGCACGTCAGGAAAATACTTTAAGGGTGCATGGATGGAACCTCCCACTGCACCAGGGTTCAACTCTGGCTTCAAGGACGCTCTCGAAGAAGAGGGCGTCTTGTTTGTTAGCTGCGGACAGTAAGTCACATGCTTTCTGAAGTTCATTTGTGTCGTTCTGAGGACTAACTTTTCTACAGTGATCACGTCAATGACTATTGCATGCTCGAGAAGGACGACAATGATAAGCCCTCTCTCTGGATGTGTTATGGCGGCGGTGTCGGACTGGGCGGGTACGGTGGCTACGATGACTTCGTCCGACGAGTTCGTTTCTTCGACTTTGACAGAGGCCCAGGTCGTGTATCAACATATAAGCGTCTAGAATGGGGTCAAACCGAAGCCAAAATCGATGAAATGATGATCGTGGATGGCGGTACCGTCAGCGGCCCAGAGGAAGCATCCCAATGAAGTCTGACCTCTATCTCTCTCTATATTTTCCTTTCACTTCCTCTCCCCTACCTTGTATCGAGATGTCGGCGTGTCTGTACTGCCCCAGCTCTCACATACTGTCGTTTCTGTTCTTGTTGGCGGCCTTTCTCTTATTTTCCTGTACATATATCTTTTTGCCCCTTGCCTGCATTAGGTCGGCGTCTGCGGGGAGTCTTACCTTTTCCTAAAATATTGAAGACATTTCTCCTATTCTTCTTTCCAATTCTTGAGGTCTGGACTGTAACATTGATCACTCATATCTCGACTAACAAATACTACAATTACTCTCACGTGAATATCTTACATCGCTACTGGCCCCATCCTCACCACCATTTCTCGAATAAAACTCGCTGCTCCCCGCCATCCCCTAGCATTCCAACCAACTTCTCCACAATAAAATCAGTCATAGCAGGCGGCCCACAGACATAACATACTGTGCCCCGAGAATCCAATTCGCCAGTTTTACCCACAGCTACAGAGCGCAGATCCCGATCAGTTATCCTCGCTGGGTGAATCTTGAGATCAGAAGGGGACCCAGACGAGAAAAGGTCAGGTGATGAAGCCAAATCCGTAAGGAACAGGTCTAGCGAGATCTGGAGCCGATGCGAACTCTCTTGAGATCGGATTATCTGGCGCAGACGCGGGAGAAACAAGATTTGGTCTAGTACTGCATCTGCTGATGCTGCTTCCTTGTCTCGCGGTAGGCGGCTGGAGTATAAAATGTGGATGGTTGTTGGGTTGGGGGTGTGGGGTTCGTTGTTGTTTAGGTGGGAAAGCATGGATATCAAAGGGCTAAAACTGTGTTAGAACTTCTTCACGAGGAAGGATTGATACAAGTGAGATCTTCAAATGTTGGTTTGTGTTGATGTATGTTTCTATACGTCGGAGATAGATGTTTGGGGAGTACCACTTACTTGATACCAACACCACCCGCAACGAAGACCACATTCTTAACATCATTAATACTGACTCCAGTTGGAGGCCAGATAAAACTTCCGCCAACTCGGATATTCAGCTCCTTGCCAAGGATCTCTTCTTTTGGTCTCCATAGCCATGCGGCGGATGGGTTACCTGGAGAGTCTTGTACGGCCAGTTCCACATATGGTGGTCGTCCTTGGGATTCTGAAGATGGTTCCAGCGCCTCACCAGCCAATGGGTCTAGAGAAGCCTCTGGCGACGGCAGCACCTGCGCATCTGCCGGGGTGGAGGTGATGGTGAATCCCCCCGCGTGGGCGATAGAGGGAATATTAACATCAAGCCATTGGCCCGGGAGGAAGCTGAATGGCTGTTGATCGTTATCCTGTAAAATACGTCAGTGGTGTCTTTTGGGTAAAAATGCATGATAGAAGATGGGCGGGTGTGATTGGAGCCATTGGCCGTGCGGGGAATATATGGATAGGATCCGACGGCGCGGGGAGAGCAATTAGCCCCGGGGGTGACAGCCCGGTTTAACATGAGTCAAAGACACGGGAGATAAGGATATACGTAAAGAGGGCACATATAGGAAAAGAAAATAACGCCATACATTATTCTCCTGGGAAGGTAGAGTGAACTGTAATAGTCGAACAGAGGGGTTGACATGCTCGATGTGCGATAGCCGCACTGGGTATAGTCTATTTTGCCGGGGCTCTGCAGCTGTGCGCAGCTCGTGAGGAATTGAGTCTTCTCTTTGGGAACTCATTTGGCCTGTGGTTCTTGAAATGGAGTGGAATCCAAGTTGACTAGGGCGGATGATGCGGGGTGGAATGGTTGAGCGAAGAGCAAGCGGACACAAGGATTGGAACGACTTCATCAAGATATGTATCAAGCTAGATGTGATTAGATGAATTTAGTTGATGAACTCCGTAAAATATGGCATGATTGTCGCCTTCCAAGAGAACAATTCAGTCACAGTTTGGGATTCTGCCGACCACATGACTTCCTCTCTACAACAATCCATGAAGCTATCACTCGACAACTTCCATGATTCGAACTCGATAATTTGGGGCTTATTGATGGCTATGGCTATCACAAATAAGAGACTACTTTTTTTGTTCCTAGTTTCCTGACTCCAGGGCTAACATGGATATATGTACAGTCAACTGCATAGTCACAGATGCGACTCACATCACCCCCACAACAGCGTTTCGCCAGTCGCTCGGTACTAAAAGCTGCAAGTTCCGTCGGAGTGCCAAGATTTTACTGATTCTGTTGAGGGGAATTGTGTGATGAGAGATTCATGCAGATCTGTCATCCTATCACACAGTCTAGCGTGTGACGAGCGGTGGTCTTCCACCGATCCCCGTCGTCTCATTGGTGTGATGACCCCGGGTTGGTACTTGCGCTGGCGCTTTGCCGCCATCAAGCATTGGCCAGATGCACCTCCCAAACACACATCAATCCATCTGCACGGTCTTCCCATGCTGATTCGTGACCCCTCCTGCATACGATGGCTTGTGCCTTCGGCCACTCGTTGGTCTTTGGCTCATATCAAGCGCTCGTCCTCCGGATCGCCCAGCCTTGTGTTCTTCTTCTACTTTTTTGACCTTCTCTACCACACTGGAGCATTTAGTCCTGTTCTTGCGATAGACTGAATGTCTAAGCCAGCAGGTCTGGCTAAATCGCGTTGTACAAAGCTTTAGTTCTTCCATAAGCGCTGCGGCTGAACGGTCAGCTTGGGAGAAATTGAGTCGATTTTTACTGCGATCCAAGACCACGCAAGCATTTCGAAACCTCAAAATGCAGTTCTTGTTTCCAAAGAAGCATAGGCACCACAAGGTCGTCCTTTGGTTGATGGTCGGGGAGTTTCCGATCACAATCGTAATGCTGACATTGACCGGTATCGCTTCCCACAATCTATACCGGACACTTTTATGGCAAGACGGAGCAAACAATGGATTCAACAGTGCCCCGAACGAGGCGCTGTATGCAGCGGCGAACTACAAACCATATAAAGCCCCTATGGTTTGGTCCGGTTTGTATGTTACTCCCTATACTCAATATTCAAGAGCTGGTTGCTGATCCTGAGAACAGTATCACCAACTACAACCTTGTCCTTGGCGTTTTGAGCACCTTCTTCCTCATCACGAAATTGCCTATCCACTGGATGAACCTATTCTATCCTCCTGTTGCAGTCGCCATCCACGTGTCCTTGATCGTTCTGTACATCGTGTCGGCGGTGTACCAGGCTGGGTCTGATATGTCAGACCCCAAACATCCCCAGCCAGGAGCCCCATGGTACATTGCAAAGAGTTGCAGTGTTGCCTCTAAAAAGTCCAATGTTGCATACTGCATGCAAGCCAAAGCGCTGTTTGCTGTGACTGTTCTCATTATGTGAGTTCCACCCTTTCTACTCTGATAGTTCTTCACTTTCTCCCATTCCGCGAGAAAATAGTCAGCTAACAGCCCCCTCAGTATCTACTACTGTGTTGTCCTCGGCTTCAATATCTACTCCTGCTTCATCACTCCCGAAGAACGGGCAGAGATTATGGAGCAGAGAGAAGAGCGTCGCATCGAGAAGGAGTTCGAAGAAGAGATCATTAAGTCTCCCAGTATGATTCCCATGACCCCCGGCTCAATGCCTAGAGGACCAGGCATGGTTCCCCGCACCCCCGGGATTCCGCCTATGGCTGTTGGGGGAAATATCTCACCCTTCGCGCCACGCACGCTGGCTTTCAACCGACTCGGCAATGGCAGTACTGCCTCTGACCTCCCGCTGCGCGACAACTCCCACCCGCCTCAGCCCCAATATTCATCGGTGCAATCGAATGAAGTCAGCCCAGAGAGTTCGACGACTTCGCCAATGTACTTCCCGCCGCCGCCAAAGAAGGCTGCTAAGCCCTGAATGAATTGCTGTTCGTGAGAAATTTTTTTGTGATACCACTTGTTGTTGTGCATACATCACCTTCATTATTTAACGAGACAAGGATGGCGTTCAGATGGGCTATTTCCATTCCTTTGGCCCTCTCCATGGGCTTGCCTTTTATTGGCCAAATGCCCATAAGTGCTCACAAACCGTCATCATTTTTGGCATTGGACTTTTGATTTGCTCCGACTCAGTCGAAAATCATTTAATTCCCCATAATCAAGTTTTGAGTTACCAATGAAAAACATATAGATTCAGTAGTGCATTAGTACACAATTTTCCCCAAATAGATCACGGCTAATTAAAAAGAATGGCTAGCTATATACATTGAACCAAAGATATCGATTTCACAAGACATAAGATCATCACCCATGTGATAACGAGCATGGGGTTTGTCTGAAAGTCATTAGAAATCTAGTGTGATGAACAGCATGCTTGACCAGCAAAGCGCCCGAACAAGTGAGGGGGCATCTTGACGTGAACACGCAAGACACAACGGAGAGAAGATCTTAAAAGGTCACCAACCCGAGAAAAGCAAATAAACCGGGAACTGAAAATTAGGCCGACTCTTGGCGCTTCTTTTCCTTCTTAGACCAGCGTACTAAAAGAATGACACCCGGGTTAGTCCGTTCCGTGCCAAGAGTAGATAGGTTACAAGCACGCTGAAGAATATGTAGGTTGGAACAGGGGTTACTGGAAGCGGTGGACGAAACTTACAGCCACAAGCATTGCACAAGGTCTTAGGCCCGTTCGGCCCCTTTCTCCATTCTGGCGAGTCAGCCGTCCCACAGTCGCTACAGACATGTTGGGCCTTGAGCCTTTTACGGCGGTCACCTTCCTGAGCGTTGCGCTCTTGGTCAGCAGCAGTGGTGATGTCAATATCGCAATGTACAAGACGACCACGGCTGACGCCTGTGCTGAGGCCTTGCGATCTCTCGCCCTCTGCGTAGTAAAGACCAGTCATGACTTCGATGCCGTCGAGGTGTGAGTAAACTTCGCCAGTAGTGCGCTCTGGATAATAGCTCGTCGATTGGCCCGTATCAGATTCGTCCGAAGTCGGCCCCACAGTGTCCGTCGTATCAGGATCACTAGATATTTCCCCTGAACGAGCGGGTTGTTGGCCCTGGGTCTCCGTCATGGGGGCGCGAATATCCTGGTCGCGGCTAGAATATTGTATCCGAGCCGCGGCCGCCTCTTCATCTTCTTCTTGCTTTAGTTTGGCGATCTGTTGGATCAGACGTGCGTTCTCAATCTTGTGTTCCAAAAAAGAGTCAAGGAGCTGCGAGACCTTGTTGGGATATGGTCGGCACACGAGGAAAAAGCCAGTGCAGCGCCCGCTGGCGGACATGGTTCTCCCTGCCTGACGCTCATCTTGGTTTGCAAGATGTGGGTGACCATAGGCCTCTATGAGACAATATGTGTTATTGGTCTTTCGGAATCGTAAATGGGTTCGGAACGATTGGTTCGCGGCGACCGAGTCGTCCAAATCTCTCTGGAAGATTCGATGATCGTCCCCATGAATATAATGTGACAGAAGACTTCCCTCGAGTTGTTTTGCGGCACGACCGGTGATATTCTTGCATGATGGTGTGGCATAGGTGATTCGGCCCTCGGGGGTGAGGAGAAGTAGCATGTCCTTCATTTCATCAAGGACTCGCTCTGTCCAGCCTGCATCGCGTTGTACACTCTGGTATCCCCCGGGTTGAGCAACTTGCACCCCGTAGTGCCTACCGTAGGGCCCATGAACTTGCTGTTGGTCCATTGCGTACATCGGATGCCCCTCATTAGAGGTCGGTATCATCTGGGAGGCAGGTAGAGATATACCCTCATGGGGTTGTGAGTGACTCAGAGCCAAATCGAGTGCTTTTGAGACTTCTCTCATATTGAGGCAGGGAATTTCCCTAGAAAACAATACCCGCACGAGGGAATGGATATAGTAGAGTGGGCGTTGAGGATGGAATCATTATCCAAATTCGAGGCCTCCAGTACCTTCAGTACATTCGGTCAAGAGAGGGTTGTGTTGGACAGTGTGCCTCTTAATATATACCCATTGTCTCACTGAGGGTCTGGATCTCCTTGAAACCAGAGAACTTGGGAAATAAAAGCCGGCCATTGCTGGTTGACAACACCGCCGATCCCTGTGGGCCTGCACTTTAGTACACTTCACGTGATTTCGTGTCGCCTTAACGCGGGACGATGTGACTGATCACAATCAATGAAGAGCACTTTCATTTCTTAGCTCTATCTTTTCGGCTTGTACTCAATAAAGCTGACGGCCAACGGGCTCAAACGCCCCTTTGAGTACTTTTGTTCAAAATGTACGTGCTGATCATTCCTCGCTCCGTGTCGCAATGCTAACTGCTTTTCAGGTGTAAGTTCAACAGTTCTATACCTCAGCCAGAAAGGAAAAATTGTTTCAACAGCCATCTAACATGCTGTAGCGAAGATCGATAAGCTCTCTATTTTAGGGTACGTCTCCCAAGTTCTCTTGATCCGCGTACAAGTACTGCGGATATTAATTACACCCATGCTCATGAAACCGCGCTTGTTCTAGAGTCCGCTCCTTCGATAATACGCGCAGCGAAACAATACAATTCCATACACCACTCACATTGATTGTCGGGTACAATGGCTCAGGAAAGACGGTACGAAATGGCAAGATAGGTGACTAAGGATTGCGATCAGCAGGGAACTGATGTGGATTTAGACCATCATCGAGTGTCTCAAATATGCCACAACAGGCGATCTTCCTCCAAACAGCAAAGGCGGCGCTTTTATCCACGACCCGAAACTATGTGGTGAAAAGGAGGTACTGGCCCAGGTGAAGCTTTCATTCAAGGCCACTTCCGGTGCCAAAATGGTTGCCACGCGCAGTCTACAGCTTACGGTCAAGAAAACCACACGCCAGCAGAAGACCCTAGAGGGCCAACTGCTTATGGTCAAAAATGGCGAACGTACAGCTATTTCATCGCGAGTGGCTGAGCTGGACCAAATTATGCCGCAGTATCTGGGTGTGTCAAAGGCCGTGCTGGATTCAGTCATTTTCTGCCACCAAGACGAAAGTCTGTGGCCAATGAGTGAACCCTCTGTACTGAAAAAAAGGTTTGACGAAATATTTGAGGCTATGAAGTACACCAAGGCTATCGATAATATCAAAGCACTGCGAAAGAAGCAGAACGAGGAGCTTGGCAAATATAAGATCATGGAGCAGCATGCGAAAGAAGACAAAGATAAGGCAGACCGTGCTGAAAAACGATCCGTCAAGCTTCAAGATGAAATTGAAGCCTTGCGCGAAGAGGCCCAGCAGATGTCACAAGAGATGCGGCGCGTTGCGGAGCTTGCTGATAAGGCTTGGACACAATCAGAAAGCTATGCCCAGATCCTCGGTGCTCTGGAGGGCAAGCGCATCGAAGCTAAGAGTATACAAACCACTATTGACAACCTCAAGAGACATCTAGTTGAGCTTGATGACTCCGATGAATGGCTTGAATCTACCCTGGAGCAATTCGAAACAAAGCAAATTCAATACCAGCAACAAGAAGAGTCACAAAAGGAACATTATATGGAAACTAAGGAGCAGATTGAGCAGACCCGGCATCGCCTTGGCCTGAAACAGGCCGAGCACGGGAAGTTTGAGAACGACAAAGCCAATTTCGAGCGCCAATCTCAAAGGCGTCAGAAAATGATCAATGAGATTGCTCGCGCCAACAACATCCGTGGCCTTGACGAGAAAATGGATCAATCTGAAATTGACACCTTCATGCAGAAGATCAAACGCCTTTTAAGAGACCAGAATCAATCACTGGATCGTGTGAGGCGTGAAGCCCAGAAAGAGCTTCGTGAGGTTCAAGATATATTGAATGAGATTGGGCAAAAGAAGTCTGCACTCCAAGAGACCAAGAACGCTGCAAAACGACAGATTGCAGCGAATGACAAGGAGGCAACAACTTATCAAAAAAAGCTCAATGAGATCGAGGTTGATGAGGGCTTCCAGGCTGCGCTCGAATCAAAAGTCGAGGATATCACGTCAAAACTTGAACATGCAAAAGAGCGAGCTAAAACTGCTTCCTGGGATCAAGATATCCAGGATACAAACGCGGAAATCCGTCGCCTTGAGGATGAAAGTTCGAGATTGAACACCGAGCTCATTGATTCAACTAAGAAGGCCGGAGATCTGGCTCGCCTAGACCACCTCAAGAAAGAATCGAAGGACCGTGAACGTAGTCTACAGACGATGAAGGGGGCTCATGGCGATCGCCTTGAGAAGGTCGTTGGCCCGGACTGGAAGCCCGAGACACTGGAACGAGGCTTCCAGCAAGCTCTCGATAGTGAATCAAAGCAGGTGGCCGACGCAGAGCGAGAGCGCGACGGGGTCAGCCGAGAATTGGAGCATGTAGAGTTCAAGCTTAAGACGGCCAAGAAGAACCTCAAGCAACGCCAAAAGGAACTAGATGAATGCATGAAGGAAATCCATGAAGCAGTCGACACAGAGCCTTCCGAATATCCTGAAATTGTGAAGGAGCGCCAGGCACAATATGATCTCGCTCGCAAAGATGCCGATCAATATGCTGGAATGGGAGAATACCTCACTAAATGTCTTGATGCAGCTAAACGCACCAAGCTGTGCCGAACATGTCAAAGATCGTTCAAGAATGAGGCGGAACTTCAAACCTTTACAAAAAAGCTGGATGCCTTAGTCAAAAAGGCTGGCCTTGACGCCGAAGACGAGACACTGAAGAGCCTTGAAGAAGATCTTGAAACTGCCCGCGCTGCCAGTGCATCCTACGATACTTGGGTCCGTTTGTCAGAGACTGTCATTCCAGAGCTGGAGCAAGAAGAGCAAGAGTTTGAAACCCGGCGTGACCAGTTGCTCGAGAAGCTGGAAACTCAAGACGGAAAGGTCAGCGAGAAGAGAGAAAGCAAGCGTGAAGTTGAAGGACTTGCTAAGACAGTGAGCACTATCGCACGTTACGATATCGAGATCAAGGCGATCAAATCACAAATTCAGGAGCTTTCTGCAAATCATCAAGACGCTTCAACTGCTCGTACCTTGGAAGACATCCAAGAGGAAATCGCCTCCATCAATGAAAAGTCACGAGAGTTGAAAAAGACTCTTACGAAAATGACAAATGAAAAAGAAAAAACGCGGTCAGAGATCAACAAGCTCGAGCTTGAGTTCAGAGATGTGAAGAGCAACCTAGACAATGCGAAATTCCAACTGGAAAAGAAAGCGGATCTGACCGTCCGGATGGAGGAATCCAAGAAGCTCAATAATCAGCAGCGGGACGCAATTGAGAAGGCAGATCGAGATATCGAAAGTCTCACGCCGGAATTGCTTCAAGCCCAGGCCCGTTATGATGATATCAGCCAGCGAGCCGACGAGCGTGAACGAGATTTGCAGCACGAGATTAGCCGCCTATCCGAGAACATCCATCAACTTGACCTTGCAAATGACGATATCAACTCGTACAACCAACGAGGAGGTCCGGGCCAGCTTGAACGAAGCAAGCAGGAACTTCAAGAAATTGAAGCCGAAATTGGCAAACTCGAAGCTGAGCAAAGTGCGATCACAAGGGAGATCAACAAAATCTCTGCCCAACTGAAGGACAGTGAAAACACGAAGCGGCAATACTCTGACAACTTGACATATCGCCAAGCCACTCGATCTCTCAACACAGTTGTTGAAGAAGTTGAACAATTAGAAGCACAAAATGCCGAAGTGGACCGAGGCCGTTTCAAGCAAGAGTCAGAACGCTGGACTCGTGAACACAATGCCCTTGCTGCTAAACAGGCGAGCAAGATGGGCGAAATGAAGTCCAAGGACGATCAGTTGATGCAGCTCCTGGCGGACTGGAACACAGATTATAAGGATGCATCTTCGAAATACAAGGAATCCCATATCAAGGTCGAAACCACCAAAGCCGCCGTCGAAGACCTGGCTCGATACGGTGGCGCTCTTGACAAAGCAATCATGCAATACCACGGTCTGAAGATGGCAGAAATCAACGCCATTGCTGGCGAACTGTGGCAGAAGACCTATCGCGGAACGGACGTCGACACAATCCTCATCCGGTCCGACAACGAGAATGCCAAGGGCAACCGATCGTACAACTACCGCGTCTGTATGGTCAAGTCAGGTGCTGAGATGGACATGCGAGGACGCTGTAGTGCAGGACAAAAGGTTCTGGCTAGTATCATCATTCGTCTTGCCCTTGCAGAATGTTTCGGTGTCAATTGCGGTCTCATTGCTCTTGATGAGCCAACTACAAACCTGGACCGAGACAATATTCGCTCTCTTGCGGAGTCGCTGCATGACATTATCCGTACTCGTCAGCAGCAGGCCAATTTCCAGTTGATTGTCATCACGCACGATGAGGAATTCCTGCGTCACATGAAATGTGGTGACTTCAGCGACTATTACTATCGTGTTTCGCGCAACGAGAGACAAAAGTCAATCATTGAGCGGCAGTCAATCGCCGAGGTATGCCTTTAACTTCAATGTTCGTCTCCAAGTAATTCTTCTTGCTAACAATGTTCTAGGTCATGTAACACTTGTCACAAATGCACCCTCTTCTTTTAGTAGTTGTTCAGATATTTTACTAGCTACCTAGCTTTGCCTGTAGTAATCTCTTTCTCCAATGTTTTACGCTGTTTTTAAACCAAGCATACTTCGGCGTTAATCTTGTCAAATGATGTTGAATTTACAATTTATTGCTATTAATATTTGATACCTACCTATGCGTCTCCATCTATTTGAGCGTTCACGAAATCCGAATAAGAAGAGAATGCGACATGCGCATTAAAAAATATTCCCAAGAAATAGTACATAGTCGTAACGGGGAAAAGATGCTATGCTACAGACAGCCGATTTCTCACGACGAA